CCCCCCCCCCCCCCCAAATGGTCTCCTTTGAGATAGGAACATTCCCAAAGTTTCATTACCCTAGCTCAATTCGTTCAAAAGTTAGCAGGGGTGGGACGGACTTTTGGTACACCCTGTACGTGTACAGATACGTATACTCAGAGAAACGTAAAGAGCGATCGACAAAATGGAAACTTGTTGATGGGTCGTCATAGCATCGTCGCTGTTTGGATCATGTAGTGTCCAGTCAATGTAAGATTTTTTTATTCAGATACGCCGAACACAATTATTCAATAGGTATGTATTATCTTGGTTTAAAATAAGCTATAGTATACCCAGCCGAAGTTTCAGTTCTTGGTGACGTAATTGGTAGGTAATACATTAATCTTAATTAACTGTGGCTGAGTCAAGGAGATATCATTCAGTACCAAGTGGAAGAAACTTAAATACAGTCCCCTGGTAAAAATTGACAGTAGAATCTGTGTTCCAAAATACCATAGACCTACAGCCGGCTGTAAGATTTCCAATCGCTTCTAAAGCCGGCAACACAATTTCTTATAGCTTTTTATGGCCGATGGCGATTAAGCAACAGCCTGGCGATAAGTGTATGCTAAACGTTACTAATTACGGATGCTAGTACTTAGTGAGTTTTTGGACTACCGCTCTCTTTTTGGGCCGCAGTATCTTGATTTAATTTGCGAGGAAAGCTCCGTACTTTTGAAGGATGCCTGCCATTCCTAATATGTTGGAACGCCTTCCATTTCGTACAATACTGTGCAATACCTCTGGTGTGAAATAGTTGCTTCAAGCGCCGCGGTACGCTGCGGCGCGGCGCGGCGCGGCGCGGCGGGCGGGCACTCGGGCAGCCAGCGCTGAACGCGCATTGGCGCCTTCAAACCTAACAGGGATACTTCACGCATTGCGCAATGCGTGAAGTATCCCTGTTAGGTTTGTAGGCGTCAGTGCGCCGCCGCGCCGCTCCGCTTTGTGTTAGGCTCTAATATTTAATCTGGCGGAGTCAGCGTTTTTCAACTCATGACTTTGAAATGTTTGCACACTCTGTATGGATTATTCTCATTTTAATTGATGAAAAAAAAAATGTGTAGTAAAGGAAAATATAATGTGCGTTTTGTAAATATTAAGGTGACTCCGTACAAACTTAAGGATTTACAAAGAACAAGAATTTCTACACAATTTCTTATAGCCTTTTGTAGCCGATGGCGAAAAAGCAACAGCCAGGCGATAAAGTGTAAAGCCCGGCGATAGGAACTATAGCCCGACTGTATAATTTTTTATCGCTTCGTGTAGCCCGGCCGTATGATTTTTTTCCACTTTCTACAGCCAGCTATATGATTTTCTATCGCCCTCTTCAGTCGGCTATATGAACTCTTATGGTATTCTGAAACGCAGCTCCTATCGCCAATTTTTACCAGGGTTGGCAGGACTTAAATGTGTCGTGAAAACCATGTGAGCAAGCATGTAGTTTTTTAATGGGTCCCGTTTGTATTTTTCGTGAGATCGACATGACGTGTTCTCTTCTCACCTCATTTATTGCGTAATTACTTCTGTGCGTCATCTCGTCACGAACAGACACGTGCCTCCCGAACGACCGCCGTTGAACTGAGAATTTGTCATTCGGTTGTTTCTGTCCTTTTTTCGCTCCCCCATGTTAACTCGCTCCAACAAATTTTCAGTCTCGGGGCTCCATTTCAGTCACAAACGCACAGTACGTATGTGACCATCGGCTGTAAGCATGATGATATTATACCCTGCATACATGAGCGATCGATGACCCCACGTCATGGGCTAGATTTTCCTTATTCGTCATTTCTATCCCTCCCCGCTCTTTCGAAAAAAAGTTCAACTCATCGCTCATCAGTGCCGGCGATTAATGAATTTCTGTAACTCGCGCGGAATTACTATACAGGGTGATCCAAAAGTCCCTTCCACCCCCTCTAACTTTTTACCTAATTGAGGTAAAGATTTGAAACTTGGGGGATATTCCTAGGTCAAAGGGAGCTACTTTTTGGCCCCCCTAAAATTTTCAGGGGGGCCCCCCTTAGGGGGGCAACGGCCCCCAACTTTTAATTTTCAAATGGGAAGACCCCCTTTGTGATAGCTCGTTCGAAAGAGCATAAAAAAAGAAAACTTTTCGCGCAAATCCGAAGTCAATATCTCAAACCGTCTCAAAATGGCGGCCGGTTAAAGTTCAAAATGGCCGAAAATTCACACCGGTTATTTGTTGATGGATTTGCGCGAAAATCGGTATGTTGGGGTATTTTGACACGAGAAAAACGAATTTGACGTTAGATTTTCAAAAAAACCAAAATTTCCAAAATGGCCGCCGGTTAAAGTTCAAAATGACAAAAAATTGATTTTTTTAGAAATGTAAGTTCAAATTTGTTTATCTTATGCCAAAATACTCTCAAATTCCAAGTCTTAGGCAAATCCATCCGGAAAAAACCGAGGTGACAATTTTCGGCCATTTTAAACTTTAACCGTCGGCAATTTTGGAAATTTTGGTTTTTTTGAAAATCTAACGTCAAATTCGTTTTTCTAGTGTCAAAATACCCCTACGTACCGATTTTCGCGCAAATCCATCAACAAATAACCGGTGTGAATTTTCGGCCATTTTGAACTTTAACCGGCCGCCATTTTGAAACGGTTTGAGATATTGACTTCGGGTTTGCGCAAAAAGTTTTCTTTTTTTATGCTCTTTCGAACGAGCTATCACAAAGGGGGTCTTCCCATTTGAAAATTAAAAGTTGGGGGCCGTTGCCCCCCTAAGGGGGGCCCCCCTGAAAATTTTAGGGGGGCCAAAAAGTAGCTCCCTTTGACCTAGGAATATCCCCCAAGTTTCAAATCTTTACCTCAATTAGGTAAAAAGTTAGAGGGGGTGGAAGGGACTTTTGGATCACCCTGTATAGGCGCGGAGCTCCGTGAGGGATAGGGGGGTTCGGAACACCCTTACGTTAAACCAGGATTCAAAGGAAGGCCCCTGAAATGTTTAAAAAAAAAAAAAAAAAAAAAAAAAAAGTTTTATATATGACATTTTACTCATTTTAGCATCTACAGGTGTCCCTGAGCAGCCGTATCTAGGGCCGGATTACCTATTTGCCACCCATGGGGCACCTGTATTTTGCCGCCTGCATTTGCCGCCTATAGGCCGCCTGCATTTGCCGCCTATAGGCCGCCTGCATTTTGCCGCCCCCTTCTCATCCGTTTTGAAAAAGATCAATAAAGAACCATCACATGGACGTGTCGGAGGGGGAGGGGGCACAAGTCGCGTTTGCTCGTATTGGGTGCTTTTTTTTAAAACCCTGTCCACATGAACAAAATTTTACTGCACTATGAGCGAAAGTTAAAGCTGCTATCAATAAAGCATGAGTAAAGGAATTACTATTTTTTTCCTCTCGAGAAATGATAGATTTTGCCGCCTCTACTCGTTCGTGATTTTTTGTCTATACCTGATTTATTTTTATATATCTATGTTTAATAAGAATGGCAAAATTTGCCGTCATAGGAAGCGGCCCATGTTTCACGGGTTTCTACGACTTCTGTCTCAAGTATCTCTCCTCTCTACTCCTTGTATATGAAAACAAGAGGAAAGTCGAAACTATATCTTCAGAATCAAATAATCGAATCCCATTCATGTCATCTGTAGTTATAAGAAGCAGCAGTTCCACCTTTAAATACGTTTTATTCCAACAAACATGCGTGTGGAAAATCAGAGGAGATATAGTGATTTGACTATCACAGTACTTCTTTGACATTATTTTCCCGCCGTTCTGGCGCGTTTGAAATTCTTTGGAGTCGCTTCAGACCTTTTAAAACCCGGCTTGTCTGGGATTTTGGCTCCAAAAATACGCAAATAAATCACCACGTGATCTATTTACCTAGTACTTTCAGAATATTAAACAAAAAACACAAGGTTTAGTGACTCTTGCGCTAGTCAAAGAATCGTGTTTTATTGATGTTTGATTCTTACAGATTAGCTAAAAATAATAAGATTCGTCCAAACAGCAACTTTCTACATTCAAAGCCCGTATCACGTGGGATCACGTGACCCTCCCATCCTCAAAGATTGTCAAGCCGACAATCTTTGAGGGTCGCGTGACCCCACGCGACGCTTTTTTGAGAGCTCTACCTTGATCGTATGATACGGGATTAATATTACTGGTTACTCAACGTGAAACTCAGATGAAAGTAAGGCGGAAGAAACCAAGTGTGTCAATACCGCACAATGTCATACCGCATAACGTCATACGTCACAGACCGAATTCTCCAAAGCGCAATCTCTCTGTTAATATTGAACGTAGAAAGTTGCTGTTTGGACCGATCTTATTTTTTCTTAGCTGCTCAACAAGAATCAAGCGGCAAAAATCGATTCTGTGATCAGCGCACCTGACCCATTAGGTATTGCGGAGGATGGACTCCGCGCCAAGCGGGGGAAAGCGCGTGGAGAAAAAGCCGAGTCTGTGGCGGAAGCGATTGCTTAAAGAAGAAGACGAGACCGAGGTGGTGCCGGCGATAGAGCAGCTGGTTCTCTTGACGGCAGACGACAGAGTATTCGAAAGCGAAGACATCCTCGCCGACGCAGAGGAGAATGTCATCCCCTCGCCTTACGCCCATGACTCCATCTCCGAGAGCGCAAAAAAATACGACTCGGACGCCAATTTCTCCGACTGTTACTTGGCAATCGTCAGGGCATTGAAAGAGCTACAGAATAAAACTCCCCGCCCCATCGTGTCGTTGGAAGCTCTGGAGAGCGAACTAGAAACCAAGCCAGCTTTCTACCCCAAACCAATACCAAGAAAAGTTTTGAAGAGCTTTCAAAGGAAACTGGAAAAACACGACCTGGATCCAAGCTTGCTGGAGAATAAGGTAGATTAAAATTGACCTCGCTACTTTCTTTCCATTTTTTTTTTTTTTTTTTTTTTTTTTTTTNTTTTTTTTTTTTTTTTTTTTTTTTTTTTTTTTTTTTTTTTTTTTTTTTTTTTTTTTTTTTTTTTTTTTTTTTACTTGAGGAACAATGCGTGCTGCATAAAAACGTACGCATTGTTCCTTCTGTTTTGCATGATGTTATCAATGTTCAAATGAACAGGTTTTCCCTGGCAAGTTTTTCCAGAAATTCGTATTTTATCGGAGGAAATTTGGCAACGCTCGAGTGTTCATGCGGTTTTTAGTAAAGAGGTAACTTCCTCTAAAACTGAGACATTAGGTAACTTTCTGTGTTGATATCCGAGCAGAGGACAATGATACTGGTAATAACGCCTTGATGCATGCAACTATTCGTGCTCATTTGGACATCCGTAATGCATTCTAAAAATTGAAGGCGCACAGTCCTTTTAGCCCATGCTCGTGTCACCCCTGGTAAAAATTGGCGATAGGAGCTGCGCTTCAAAATACCATAGGAGTTCTTATAGCCGACTGAGGAGGGCGATAGAAAATCATATAGCTGGCTGTGGAAAGTGGAAAAAATCATACGGCCGGGCTACACGAAGCGATAAAAAATTATACAGCCGGGCTTTACACTTTATCGCCTGGCTGTTGCTTTTTCGCCATCGATTGTAAAAGGCTATAAGAAATTGTGTAGAAATTCTTGTTCTTTGTAAATCCTTAAGTTCGTACGGAGTCACCTTAATATTTACAAAACGCACATTATATTTTCCTTTACTACATATTTTTTTTCATAAATTAAAATGAGAATAATCCATACAGAGTGTGTAAACATTTCAAAGTCATGAGTTGAATAACGCTGACTCCGCCAGATTAAATATTAGAGCCTAACACAAAGCGGAGCGGCGACGTACTGGCGCCTACAAACCTAACTGGGATACTTCACGCATTGCGCAACGCGTGAAGTATCCCTGTTAGGTTTGTAGGCGCCAATGCGCGTTACGCGGTGGCTGCCCGCCTGCCGCGCCGCAGTGTGCCACGGCGCGCGGCGCTTGAAGCAACTATTTCACACCAGCCAGAGGTATCGCACAGTATCATACGAAATTGAAGGCGCTCCAACATATTAGGAATGGCAGGCATCCTTCAAAAGTACGGAGCTTTCCTCGCAAATTAAATCAAGATACTGCGGCCCAAAAAGAGTCGAGCGGTAATCCAAAAACTCACTAAGTACTAGCATCCGTAATTAGTAACGTTTAGCATACACTTTATCGCCAGGCTGTTGCTTAATCGCCATCGGCCATAAAAAGCTATAAGAAATTGTGTTGCCGGCTATAGAAGCGATTGGAAATCTTACAGCCGGCTGTAGGTCTATGGTATTTTGGAACACAGATTCTACTGCCAATTTTTACCAGGGACGACACGTTGTCACGACACAAATGCAGCGATGAGATATAATATCCTAATCTGTAAAAACGGTACGGAAATATCTTTATCTGCCCTTTCCACTCAGAGGTTTTATCCGAGAATTTAATGTTGCCACTTACAAGTCGTAGGTATCGGCGCGCCATGCAGTTGCGCGCGCTGATTCGTGGATTAAAGTACCACGCCCTCCATTTTTTCGTATGCAACACGCGCGTCCATGAAGTGCGAACAGTTGTATCAAGGCTTCATTATCAAGATAATAGAATGCATTGCGGATTGTGACTTTTATGGTGAGACATTAGTATGTACAGAAGTCCCACCACGTCTTATAACCCCCGATTTAAGACATTGAATTGAAAAATGCGTCCATTTAAAAATGCTAATACTTATTTTCAGTATATTTGATCACAAAAACAAGTTTAATCGATCTTTTGATGTTCTCGTGGATTAAGACTATGGCTGGTACATACTACGATCTAGCGAACAGTCGGGATGAAGTGTAATAACGTTTGTGTACAAGCAGTCGCAGCTACCACCCGTGCCAGGCTTTTCTCTCGATTATTTTAGGTCGGATGATGTTCCTCAGCTCCCCGTGGCATGAGGTCCATTCCCCATTTAACAACCACCACCACGACAACCCCCCCCCCCCNAACCTTCCTACAATAACAGAGAAGAAAGCCTGGCACGGCTGGTCCACGATACCTTGTACTTAATGTGCAATGTTCAATTACGACTGATAGATAGACAGTAGTGTCAACAACTATATGCCTCAATCCCCGAGTAACATCAACTTATGAAATTGTGCCCCAGAAAATAAAAAAAAAAGATCGATTAAAGTAGCTTTTGGGAATAAAAAATTCAAAATATTACCATTTTTAATAGTAAACATGCAAATTATTTAATCCTTACAGATCGGAGCTAAATCCCTGCGCTTCTTAAAAAAGGCATAAAAAGTCCCTTTTTATTGACTCTCCAGGGCCATATTTTGAGGTCCAAATGTTCCGGAGGGGGAGGGGGGGGGGGTCAAATGATATACCCTATTTCAAATTCTATATACGGGGGAGCCAAGCCTCCCTCAATAAACTTAATCCATGATCTGATAAACTGTGCCTGCTTATATGTATACTTGCCGAAGAAGAAAAAAGAAAGAAGGGGAAGAGAACAATAAAAGAACTGAACACAAGAATCGACCAATCTAAACATGGAAAATACTTGATAAATTTTAAAATTTGGAAACGTTATTTAAGTAAGATAGTTTATCAAATTGGTTCCAATTATATTGACTCAAGCTTATAAATACTTAATCCAAAGGTGAATTTTACTCCATTTTATTTAGTTCCAAAAGGTATTCAGCAAGGAGCGCAGGCGTCATCCCGACAATAAAGGAACAAACAACATGAATAGTTTGTGGCAGATGCTCGCAACTTACAATGAATTCACCGTGACCAAGCCGGATTTCAACATTTACGATGAGAAATGTCATTGGCTCGATCAAAGACCGTTACCATGGATCATTCAAGAGAATTCCAGAAAGAAATGCGCTCAATGGTTGACCAGAAATTTTGAATGAGTCAATGTATCTGCTGATGTCCTGTCCAAATCCTGATTATACCTGTTGGGTCCAAGACGAGTCGCGTAGCTCAGTTTCTGAGTAACAAGAAGAGGTCGAAAACTCATGTTCGCAGACCCTGCTCAAGTACTTGAATTCAAATTGCGCGGTTCCATATTGAATTTCAATCTTCCTGTGGACAAGGCTGCCATGAGTTGCAAGAAAAAATTCTCTATCTTGGCCCGGTTCGACTAAAATAACATTTATTGTTTTAATCTAAAAAATATTCTTAAATAAAATTATCAATTATACGTTAAAATACACGCAGGAGAAAACATTAAAGTTCAGTGTGACAATTCAAATTACCTACCTGAAAATGAGACCACCACATGAGATAATTTAAGTTTGGTTCTGATGAACGTGTAGCACAGTTCGCGCCATTTCAGTGATAAAGGAAAACAATTGTTTATCACCTCTGTAATCTGATCAGAGACAAAATCTGATCAAGTGAGTGGTGCTGACAAATTCGTAGATCTACGTGTATGTTTTTGTGCAGTCCATTTTTGAAAGTTTCGGACTTACATATTCTCATTGAAGAGTGCCTTAAGGGGACGTACGAATATCGCGTAAAGGTTGAGATCTAAAGATTCTACGAATTAAAAGTTGCACTGTTATCTTAGGAAGATGGCTGATACTGATGAACCTAGTGTGTCAGGAAAAAATTCCAATGAAATTGTGGATGAATCGAACAGCGTTACTATGTTGGAAGTGCTCGCTGCAGAAAAAGCCCTTGAAGAAGACGCCAATGCCGTTCTTGGTGATTCTGATGAAAAGAATTGCACCTATCCTCAAGTAAGTTATCCGTAGCTTCCTAACCCCACTTTCGACAACATCCTTTCACTGGTCATTGAATTTTTTTACCACCTGTGAAAGATGAGTCTTTAAGGTCAGCAAAATGGGCTCTTTCATGCAAAGCGCGCAGGGGCAAATCAGCCAATTTTCATCGTAACCTACGACACACAAAACCCAAGGTTTTTGTCTTCCATGTTGTATCAAAATAATATCTGCAAGCATACTCTTCATTTTTACGCCGAAATCGTTACATTTCTAAGATGCTCAAAAATAAGCCTCTTAGCTTATTAATCCCTAAGGTTGATGAGTTGTGATTACTGATTTTCACTTTTGAAGGCATATGGCTACTGTTTAAGTGCGAAGTTGAAGAATTTTTTAAACTTAAAGGTGTGTAGCTTCCAAAATCCTGTAAAAGCTGATTAGTTTATCCAAGAGTGCTTTCGAAATTAGAGCCTACTATGTTGACTGTCATAATGCATCTGGAATACTGTCATGAGCGAAACCAGGAATTTTCTGTAGGGGGAGGGGGGCACAAGAGGATATGATATAGAACTTGCACTAAGGGGGGTCCGGGGGGGACTCCCCGAGCTGCAGAGGGGGGTATGTGAGGACTTCTCGAGCTGCAGAGGGGGTATGGGGGTCTCCCCCAAAATTTTTTTGAAAACTGGAACGTCTCAAGAGCAATTACAAGCCATTCTTAATGACATATTGTATCGGAGGCAGCTACTCTCTTTGCGAGCCATTTTATTCATCCTCTGATATCTTTGATCGATTGTATTAGGATTAAGCTCATATTTTTACATTTTCTATGCCTTTTACCTTAAAACTGACTGGTAGTTTGGGTCCCTGATATTTTTTGGAAGGGGCTGAGCAGAATTGTGGGGGAGGGGGGGGGACCCTATTTCCATCCATGAATACTGCACTTAGTTTCCAAACACATCATATACCACCATTTTCAATTTTTGCTTATTTTTGAGGGGCTCAACATCAGCAATGTCGATCGCCACACCAGACAACTCTGCAGATTACACACCAGGACTGATCGAATACTGGCTGGAGGGGGCAGAAAATTGGTGGCTACTGGGGCGCCTCTTGGCCCTTGCCCACAGAATGCATATCGAATTTTTAATCAGCAATTTAGCCAACTCCCAATTAGCTAATCTAATAAATCTTTGTTATTTCAATGGTTAGTAATTTCCCACTTCAACCATCTGTTTCAGGGTTACATCAAGCGACAGGCACTGTATGCTTGTCTGACATGCACCCCACCTGACTCAGGTAGGAAAGCTGGTGTTTGTCTAGCTTGTAGCTATCATTGCCATGAAGACCATGAACTAGTCGAGCTCTATACCAAGCGCAATTTCCGATGCGACTGTGGAACTCAGGTATTCAATGGGAAGAAGTGTTCATTGCTGGCAGATAAACCCTTGGAGCCCAATGAGAAAAACTCGTATAACCAAAACTTCATTGGTTTATACTGCAGCTGCAACCGGCCTTACCCAGATCCTGAAGATGACACAGAAGATATCATGATTCAGTGTATCATTTGTGAAGACTGGTATCATTTTAGGGTAGGTAGGAGCTATGAGCTTTGTTTTTTTCCTCCTAGCACCTTTAGTGTTCATGATTTGCTATATTTTATTATTCACAAACTCCTGAAACCCATAAACATTTTAAGTATCGTCTAAGTCATCTTCTAAAAAACAATAGCAAAAGATTTTTTAAACGTTCAACAGTATTATTCCAACTATTTGAATTCCATTCGGCTGAAAACCTTGAAAACTCAGAAAAGTCAAGGAATTTCACAATATCTCAACAAAAATCTTACATTAAATTAGTAAGATTAAAGTGGCTTTACCTAGTGTTCTTTTTTTAATTGTAATTCAGAACAACCAAGAACAGCTGCTGAGCTTTTTTACTTTTGAAGTTGAAGCATTAGTCGTGATGCATTTGAAACATTTGTTCAGGAGAAGTTGTTAGAGCCTGGGAAGGGAGTAACCCAAAATAGATCCTGAATTCTTCCGTTCTCTCATCAATCTTTGAAAGTAAATAAAGTAATTTTAGTGCTGGCTTGTCAGAATATTAATGAATTTTAATTACATATTAAGTGCTTAATATTCAGTGGGTATTATTTTAGTTTGTAACAATCTTTTTAAGTATGGCAAGACAGCTAGATATCTTGATTTTGCAGCTCACTGCCACTGCTTCTTTTGAGCATGAAACTATTACATATGCAGTTTTTCTAACTTTTTCATGTTCTCATTGTCTTCCTTTTCCTGTTTTACAGCATTTAAATACAGAAATGAATTCGTCAACCGACTATTCTGAGATGATTTGTGAAACGTGTGTGAGAAGAAACCCATTTCTTCTTCGTTACGTGGACTTGCATGGTAGGCAAATTAACCCTTAATTAAATTATGCAGTATACTTGATTGGAATTTCTCCATAATGAACAAGAAATCTCTCAAAGGTTTTTACTATGCCACTTATTATTTCTTTATCTCCCTACAACTTCAAAAAGTTTGCGGAAAAGTCTCCTGTTGCAAGTCTGCATTATGTTTTGGTCAAATAAACTTAAAAACCCATTAGCCAGGATATTACCGCTTATACTTCAAAAATTGTCTCCGTCTTTTTATCAGAACTTATTCAGTTGTTGACTCTAGAGGTACAGGTATTCAAGACTTTGATGATCCTAATGTACTGCATCAGTTTTTTGTGACATATGACGTATGATGAGGCCTTTGTTTTGTTTAAAATGAATCCTCAATTTCCAAAAAAGCTCTGGAAGTTGAGGACTATATGGACCAATATAAGGCTGAATACTTGAGCAGAGTCAAACTAGCTCTTTGTATCCAAAACTTTAATAACTCAACCACATTTTCTCTGTTCCATACACCCTGATTAGCATTACTTCAAAGGACATCTCATTAATGACTCATTTTTTTGAGACGTTGGTTTCATTATGGTCTTTGAAAAGGAAGCTTCATACCTATTTTCTCTTTCAAAGCAAACACAGAGTATAGTATGGTTAAATTCTATTTTTGGGTGGGAAATTTCCTTTCTGTGCTTCTAATTTAATTTGAATTTATTTTGCAGTGAACAAGCAAGAAATCAATGTTGACGTCACGTCCGTTTCTCCCATTCCAAATCCCAAGTCTGTTGTGGCCAACGTAAACAATCCTGAGAATCTTCCTCCCAATGAGCAGACAGTTGACAAAGAAACCATTACAGGAGCCCAAGTAGAGACTGATGATTCAGAAAAACAAGTCGAAGTGACAACTGAAGTTGAAGGTCCTATTTCTAGTCTTGACAAGAATTTAACTGATGGCACAAGTTCCTCTGCAGAATCTGCAGAAACGATCCCTGCTGTTGTATCAAATTGCATCTTACCAGTTGAGTCCAATGAATTGCCGAAAATTAAAACCCTTTTCTTCAACTCAGATTGGAGGAAGCAGCTTTGTAAATGCAATAATTGTTCGGTGAGTTTTTTATTTTATCCAGTATATTGCCCTCAGATAACTTTGGTAACACTTTAGGCATTATGCATGAACAGCTGTAAGCCTCTGAATTATCACTTTGTAGAAATGTCAATATATCTATAAGAGAAAATCATAAGTTGACTGACAAAAAGCTAATGAGAAGTAAGAATCTAAGGGTGATCAAGTTTTTGTAAAATTGAAACATAGAAGTTAGGTGATATGGAACTCCCCAAGTGCCATCAGGTTTTTAAAAAAATTGGTGTTTGTCTCAAGTAAAAGCAAGGAAGTATGATTAGGAATCTATTTTTAAAGTCATCATGATTCACTAAATTTCAGGCTGCCGTGGAGAGATTTTTGATGAGAAAAATCGAAAAGTCTAATTATCAATCGACTTACCATTCTTAAAACTCATAGGAATACCGTGATCTTCTACTTTTTTCCTTTCATAACACTACAATAAATAACTAGTATTTTTTGTTATAAAAAGTCTAGTTACATTCAATACCAAGAAAAAATTCATTAATCTGTTTAAAACACATAATCAATTAGGTTCATATAATCATACAAATAAGCAAGAAAGCAAAATACCAAAAAATGCGGCCTGAGCTTTATGTAACAAGATGGTGAAGTATTGCTGGGTAAACACTATTTTGCAGGTTAACTAGGAAAACCCCCCAAAAATGATAATCATAATCATTACGGCACTTCAATGCTGTCTTGCATTTTGCAGGATTCCACTCTCTGATAAGTGTGATCCACTGATAAGATCTAACAAGACCCAAAATATTATACATCTCTCGGCGTGACCTGCTTCATATTCAAATGTAGGTGTCGAAAAAAATGAGTAGGTGGTCGTCGATTTCTTTTAAAAAATGTTAATATGGAGTTTTTAGTGTTATCCAAAGCAGCATACCCAAGTTTTACTTGAGACCGAGTTTAGAAGAAACAAGTTTGAAGCCAGCACAAGAATATGTAACAAATTAACTATGTTCAGTACTCACTTGCATCTTTTATTTTGGTAAATTTGAGCGTGTTTCGAGGGCTCTGCCCTCATCATCAGCGATAACCCGTGACTGATGGGGGAAGAAGGCGTTATTGTTACATGATCTGCTGATCTATTCTTTTTCGATTTTTTTTTTAGACAAGTTTGTTCAATTCTGTTGACGTAATCGGCCACAATTGACAATTTAGTGAGCCAAGTCATGCATCAATTTACAAAGCTTCATCAGTTTATATGGAACTTCCCCCAACATCAATTTTTGGACACAAATGTACATTTTTCTCACGATTTATAGGAGTTATCTTAATGATTTTCGTCTAGTAGTAGTTTTCTGCACCAACAGACAGAAGGTGTATTTCAAGATTTTGAAAAAGGAATAGAAATCAAATTTGAATATTTTCTAAGCCCCTCGCTTAGAATTAACATTTTTCCTCCCAAAATTTTAAAATTGTACCAAAAATTTGAATTTTCAAAAACGGCCTTTTCCAATTACAAAGTAAGCATTGATGAAGAGAGCATAAAGTTCATGTTGATATCTGCATTACTTCCAGAAAAAAGTAGACCTTTGTGAGTCCAATTTTGCAAAGGTTGGCATAGGACAGCTGATTTCCCTTAAATCTGATGTGTTACATCTATTTTTCTATGTAGTAGCACATTGCCAAGCCATGTAGATATTTCAAGATGGGAGCGTCTTCATGGGAGCGTGTGTGAAATCGAAATTATTGGGCTTAGGAATGATATTTTGCACATCTTGACCAAGCAATAGAAGAATGACGGATCGTCGGTTGTCCATACAAGTGCTCATTGGGTTCTTGTTGGAAGAAGACAGAGTTGACACCCGTTAAAAAGCTGGTGACAGGGAATGAGCGTAGAGATCAGGAGGTTTCATTCGCCTGATGATCTGCAGGAGGACAGGTTTTGAGAGCATTTAAGAGTCACAGAGTACACTTGTGTGCTAAAATAGCAGTATGAATTTTTCTCTATTATCTTTCCAATTTATTTTAAATATTATTCTTCCAGATGCTCTACAAGTCTGAAGGAGTAGAATTTCTAACCGATGAAGGTGATACAGTTTTGGCTTACGAAGAGCGCGGCAAAAGCAAAGAACGAGAAGGTCAATATGAGCAAGGCTTGCGTGCACTTTCATCACTTGATAGAATCCAGCAGGTCGAAGCATTGACAGGTAAGACTCATCCCGCGAAAGGCCTTGTGTTTATGAAGATTTATAGTCAGCCTTAGTGGTCTAGTGGTCAAGGCAGTTTGCTGTCAACACTCAGGTCCCGGGTTCAACCTCGGAGGTAATAGAAATTTGAGGACATTCAAATATCCGTCATCGTAACCGTGGATGACTATGCCACTGTAAGGTGCTCCTTCAAGGTAACAGGGTGTGGAAGGGACATAGTTACCCAATATGTAATCAGCTGTTTGACTGGGTAGTAAAAAAATCCTAGATCACTCGCAGTGAGGGCAACTACCAGCGCTACCTATCAGTGGAGATTGAAACAACACACTCAGTGGGGGCATGGCCATGTTCCAAACATCCGCGCTCTGCAGCGTCTGCCACAGTCTTTGATAAGGTCTACCGTTGGCTATCAGACAGTTGTTTAGCCTTTTGGGATTATGGAATGTGTCAATAGTATGTGCAAAGTGAAGGAGCACAGTCCAACTTCAAGATGCATGACAGCTGTATTTCTGCCAATTGCCTTGGCCCCATGAGGGTGCATCGCCAGTCAGCCCGGCCCTTACTTACTTACTTATGTATATAAAGAATCATGGTTTTCAGCAAAAGTTGCACAACTACCATGTCCAGACTGTACTAATGACTGGTCCAAATTTTTCGATGGTTATACAATACCTCATCAACAAATTCAATCAAAATTATAGCACTCGCTGTTTTTTTTTTTCCTGTTTCAGAGTACAATGAGCTAAAAAATAACCTAAGTGAATACCTGAAGAAGTTTGTAGAGAACAAAAAAATTGTTCGAGAAGAAGACATCAAGGAGTTCTTCTCTGGCTTGGCTGAAAGAAAGAAACGAAAAGTTGAACCACCCCCATATTACTGTCGTTAGGCATTAGCCTCCAAGGACAGAGTCAAAGTGAAATCTCAGATTCATAACTACCCATCTGGGTTAGTCACATCAATTCCTCTCATCGTCAACTGCTAATCCTTATTCTGTTTCCTCAATATATATATGTTGCATTTTTGTTCTTTCAATATTGGATCAAATTCAAGAGGAGGGAACTCGTCCACTGAGACATATGCTGAGAAATGATTTTTTTGTAATCAAAATAACTTTTGCCTTATTAATCAAGAAGGTTGAAGTTTCAGTCAAATGCTAATAAATTTCTGCGAATTTAATCCCATAGTTCTGAAAATATTTACAAATTTGTCCCTTTCTTTTAAATTTGATCTGCTTGCTTGTGATTTTTGAGTCAAAGGGGAGAAGTGCTCTTGTCACGTAAATAAATTTCCTCGGACTGACTAACAAGTTCATCGCTATCTGTTGTTGTGTGTAAAGGAAGATTAGTTTTGCATCTCAACACTTCATGAAGTCTGTAATTAGACGTCTACTTTTCTTTTTAAAAGGAATCTTTCATTTGTTTGACATATGGTGAGCTCTAATCAATAGTCTTCATGTCTCAGTGTAAGTCTCAATTATATCATCATTATAAATTTCATAGTATCTTTCACAGCAGGAGTTAGTTTTTGCCCAAAAGTTCTCTGAAAGAGTTAGAAACAATTTTGGGGAAGTTCGCAGAAGAATATTATATTTTTAACTTATTTTTGGCTTGTCCAAAATTTTCTTCATTGTTACAAGAACTAAACAACAGACTTGCCTTGTGTCTATATTCTAAGTGATGAAATACTGACAGTTATTTGTCGTAACATTAGTAAATCCTTTTTGTGATCATCCAAATGTAAAGAAGTTTGAAGTCCAGAAGGTAATGGAATTATGATGGATCTCATTTTCCCCTGCGACTCATAACTTTTCTCTTAAACAATTTCAAACAATAAATGCGTATGTTTCTTTCATCAGGTAACTGACTGTTACTTGTTCTGTTCAAATTGACGTTTCAATGAAGTTCAGATCGAGTTTCAGCCTTCATTTTATATTTTCGAGGAGAATTCCCAATTTCTCACAATATTGTTTTAGTTTGCCCTATTTTATTTTTTATATGAAATAAAGTTAATTTTAAGTTATGCTACAAATATTGTAATATTTACTTAACCTCTTTGAAGATTCCTTAGGAAGACAAATTCATTCCACTCTGGGATTCCAAGGAGAAAATGAGAAAGAGGAACAGAGTGACACTGAATGATATTTTTAAAATTATTTAATTAACTTCGTAAAACTTGTTATATTTTCAGCCAGCTGTTTGCTTCCGCCATGCTTTATACCATTTACAATCCCCCCAAAAAATTTCTATTTCAAATACATACAATAATTATTAATCAACAAAGAAAATGACTTGGAAATCACTAATTTGCTGTTTTACTTTCATATGGTGAAAAAAAAAAAAAAAAAACTGTTTCTCATTTCATTTAACAAGAAAAAGAAGGAAAGAAAGAAAACCAAACATGTACTTACAATATTTAAGAGGAATGTTTTTGTCAACGATTTACTGAATTTGATTTTAATCCTGAGGATACCAGTTATTTTTAATTCTTACAAAGATTTACCGACCAAATCGCAGGTCTTGACAACTGATCCTGAATGAAAGGCTCCCTAGGTATTGATGAAATAGGTATTTTAAACTACCTTACCACGATTTGACAGGAGCAAAGAGCAACGATTGAAAAGTTTTTGCTGATCCTTTAGTTCGGCAATCCAAGGCAACTAACTATTGCTTATAGAAAAGAGGAAATTTAAGGCAAAAGTGAGAAAACCGAATTCAATGAGATTTTGATTTATTAAAAAAAATATACATATAACATATGAGAGTAAAAAATAGAGAACAATAAGATTTTGAAGACAATATAAAAAATGTCTTTATGAAAGCAACCTGTGACGCACCACTCAAGTAGATCCTTGCTTTGGACCTTCCTGTTTTTAGAGAAGACCTGTATTTTGGAGAATTTTGCTCTGGTTCAACTGGACTTCTGACAGGAAGGTCAGAGCATTCGGAAAATGATTGTAGACCAATGCATAAGAGTATTAAGAGGTATTCTTTCAGGCAGCTCAGGAACTTAAGATTCTTTGATTTTCGTTGATATTCTTGGTATTTAATTATGCTCAATGAGTAGAAAAAATAAAAGTTTTTTTGAACATAATTGGTTTGAAATAATTTGATTCAGCTATAATTAAAAATACAAGTTCAAAGATGAAAAAATGCACTGAAGTTGAAAAATCATCAAAATCATCCCATGGAAAATTTAAATTCCAACCTTAAATTCTATTTTTACTTTTAGAAAGATTAAAATTGCAAAACATGACTCTTCTTGGGTAGCAAACGACAGGATTAGAACTGTGTGACAAATTAGGGTAAAACGACAGAGATCAAAAGTTGGAAGTGTCAAAAAGTAAAATACATATGTTCGATTCAGGGTGGATAACCATGTGAATGACATTTTAAAAGACATCCTTTCACCAATCATAATTAACCCATTGTTAGTTTATTTGTAAATAATTTACAGTTATTTTATTTGAAAGTTAAAGATATTTACTTTACTGTTTAATTTTAAATGACTTGAAATTAGAAGAAAAACAAGTAGATGTCTATCAACAAAAAAATTTTGCAATGTGAGACTGCTGTCGCAGAATTCTTTCTTGGCTAAAGGCAGAGATTCGCCTCAAAATGACAATTTAAGACAATTGGACTAAAAAATTTTAGGGTCAAACCGGCTTAAAAAACAACGCCAGGATTACTGTTTAATTCTAACCAGGTTGTCAACTGAGATTCTCCGATAAAATTTATGGAATTCTTAATTAATTTTTCTTGACTCTCAAAACTATTACTACACATCCCCTCTCAGAGAAAAAATTAAGTACTGAGCGTGGCTGGTATATGAAATTTTTGCTCATAGAATGGCTGCCTTAGCAGACTACCCTCCTGTTTCTTGTTATCACGCATGTGTCCAGTTGCTTGTCGCGTAACTCCTAGGACAATAAATCACTTTCGCCATTAACCAACACCATAAAAGTTTAGATTCAACGGTGTAGTTATAAAGCTTTTTCAGTGTTTTTGGTCTCGAAAATATAAAATTGGGAAGGTCCCAATTTGAAATTGTGTGGACCATTTCTGAATCTGTTGACACCCTGTTAAACCACCCACTGACAATTATTTGAAATTCATATAAAGTTTCAACTAAGGATAATCTGTTAAGTCACTAAGTGCTAAAATACCAGGTACATTAGAGAGCAAGAGACATATATACACAAAAAATGGTTTTATCTAGTGCACATTACAGTAGTGAAAAATAGAGAGAGAATTCAATATTTTCATTACCTAACAACGAAAATCTGGTGGGCCTTGGAAATGAGATTCCAGATCACATCATGGTTAACTTTCTAGGTGCTTTACTTTAACTCTGTTGCCACTTTGGTGATTGGCAATATTCTTTCAAGTATCACTTCAGTCTTTGGATCACTCTTCATTTTCAATACACTAGTAACATGAGGTTTTCAAAGGTAATTTTGTAAAGGTTCTCGGGAAGATTAAAAAACACTTCTTTACGTTATTGTTTTTCTTATGGCAAAAAAAAAAAAAGAAGAAGATGCTCCAAAAATACAGCAATATTATGGTATGCTGACTCTCTCTATTTGGCTTAACGATTTCTATTTTGATTTGACCTTTCTGGTTTCCATTAGAATGAAAAAAATGTTTGCTCAATTGTATGCGCATCTCGATTGTCTTAGCAGGGTGTCTAATTTTTTTTCATTTTGGGAAATCCTGATTTTTCCTGGTTTTTTACTGCTTAGCCCTGATTTCATAATTTTTCCAAATCCTGATTCTTTGCAGAGACAAATTAATAGTTCTGCATAAGCGTACAGGAAAGCATGAAAAAATCCAATCGGACAGCCGACTTTCCTCAAAACCTGGATTTTACGACCGATTTTTTCTCAAATCCTGATGAAATCGGAATTAAATCCTGATGGACCTCAAATTCTAATATCATCGATGATTCCTGGTAGAAAATCCTGATGCAGACAACCAGACACCCTGCTTAGGGAAAAATCTTAGAATTTCAAAGTTGAGACTATTTGGAGTTCATGTCATGGAATAATTAAGATTGAACGTTAAAAAAAGTTCAAGATATCTACAAAGAAAGAATAGAAAAAAAATCTTCTAATGTCACACACATAAAAGAGAGATGCATAGTTTTCCATCCTCCAATCTTAAAAAGAGAGCTGCGTCAAATCTTTTCGAGATTAAGACCTTAAAAGGAAAACCATTTACAGAAATAGGGTCTCCTAAGCTTTTTAACTACTCACACTACAAATTTTCTTGGAAGTCAACTTATAATTTTGATGCCTATTTCTTTGGTACAAACTGACTTATATAGTAAGACAGCATAGCTTATGTCTTTGGGTTCAGATTTCAGGATAATACTGATTTTTATGCCGATTTTAACATCAATTTTTTTTTTAAGAATTGTCTAATTATGTCAGTTTCCAACTGAAAATAAACTTCTGAGGACTCCACTAAAACAAAAAGTTAATGGTTAAACTTTAACAATTTTCAGTCAAGGAAAAAACATTCCATTCTGGGAAAACTTTGAAAGCCACAAAATAATCCGCAGGGCCGTCCATGAATGACGCCTGGCACTCATTTCAATTCTTTTACCCTATTTCGACCCCTCTATCAGATTCCTTCTCCCATCCTCCTTTCAAAGGGATTTGTTAGACAGTCCTATCCCCCCCACCCCCACCTTTAGTACCTGACATCATTTATCGATGGCCCTTAAACATTTAAATTTGTTAAAAAGGGGCTGGCCTTAACCCTTTGCTAACAAAATAATGCAAAGTAAAACAAATGAGGTGGGTACCGCGTAATATACGAAATGTGATGAACTGCTCGACTTCTCACTTCTTCTTCGTTCGGGGTGAAACTGGTACATCATCTTCGTAGGTACTGAAAATGTATTCAACAAAACAAGAGAAGACATACCAAGCAATAACCATTGTTGCCAATCCAATGATCAAAACAGTACATAAAAAGACGATCCATGAAACCAGCATCCCCGATGCAAAGATGATTATAGTTCCTAGAAAAAAAAAAAAAGAATAAAGTGTAAAAACTTAAGAAACTAGAAAATCAATTTCTAAAGTTTTAGGAGAAAAGGGTTTTTCAAACTAAATGTAAGTTGTACTTTTTTTCTTTTTGGGAGTTAGGCAAACCTTTTGACCACTGCGTGCAAATAGGCCGATAGAACTTAGAAAATTGTTACACCCATCTAGAACACAACTGAGTACGTGGTTTTGAGAACTTTTCAAACAGCAAAAATGTCATCCTATGATGACTGCAGACCAGGGTTTCATAGAAAATGTAAGAGAGGTTTTTAAAACTCAAAATAATTTATTTGCTTAGATGTAAGCAGAGACTCTGAATTAGAGGAAATATTTATTGAGACGAAAAGTTACCTAGGGCAGCGAAAAAGAAGAGACTCAAAACAGACACTGACAATCCGATAAACAGTAAAATAGCCAGGACAGGAATGATCCAGGTGACAGCTATTGCAACCAGCAAAATAGCAATACTAGGGTGCTGAGACAAATAGTCCATTGCAACTTCAAAATATTGAGGGCACACTTCGGAGGTGAAATCTATTAACCTGCATTTCATGCCTCTGTGCCAATTCCTAAGACTGTGAGGGAGCTCCGAGAGTTGCGGCCTGTCATCCATGATGCTGATGTTTAATTTGATAGCTGAATGCTATGTTTTTAAATTGTCTACTGCCTGGTTTTTGGCTGAAGATGGAGGAAATTGCATTTAGGAAGCTCTCACTGATGGACTCGTCACTGATGGGGTCGCATTCAGTTGAGGGGTCTAAGAGAAAGTGCTGTTAACAGCTGATGATCCAAACTACAGCAAATACGTTTACATTGTTTAGAATTAGCCTACTGATGCCGTTTCATTCTCCTAAACAGAACGTAAATAGGATTACTTGAGAAATGAGAGCACTTCCAATGGTACGAAAATTCAAATGATAATTCATGGTCAGCCTCACTGATAGACATCAGCAATAATCAACAACTAGTTCTTGCTAAAAATTTAAAAATTCTTGGAAAAAAACACAATACAAAGAAGGGCAAAAGAGACCGCCGATACACAAATCTAAACAGACAACTTGCAACTTGGACTTGCAACAACACAGACTAACCTCAATATAATTCAAAACAAACAAAGCAGAGTTGCCAAATTTAAGACGAATTTCAAACTTGCCCACAATTAATAGGTCAGGCAGGGTGTTAAAATGTAGGCAATTTGACATCAAATTCGAAATTAGCGACTCAAAAAACATCGGATTAGAAACTTTTTTGATCATTCAGTCACTATCCGACTTATTTCTTCCTATTCTTGAGTTTTGGACCATAGTGCGCCACTGGTTGGCGGCTGCTCATGAAATTCTCCCCTGTGCTCAGCCGATCATATTCCTGAACCAATTACTATCTAAGTACCTATAGGGAGTCATCAGTCTTAAAATCATTACTTCGCTTAGTTTTCTAATGAAAACTTGGCAGAAATGTTTCGTGTGGCAAGAAATGATGAATGGTGGCACTCCATTCTGATCAAAATTTGACTCAGTGATCAAGTTGTCTACTTTGATCCGAACTGGTTTGGAATTTGATCGTGTATCGAGACGAAAGAAGTTTTAAGCATTAGTCAAAGACTAAATTTGAAAATATTAGATTACGACTTATTTTTTGGTAGTTTACTGACTAAAATATCTCTATTTTTGGTACACAATTTTGTAAAAGTAAAAAATATGAAACAGAAAATTTAAAACAAATCTGTTGGTTCATTAGTTTCCTTCTCAAAGAAGTAGGACATGTGCAGATATTTGTGGTATTGCAACCGGCAATGCACATTTTCCAACTTTTGCCATCAATAAGTCATACATTGATTAAAAACTCTGAGGCAAAATAACATTAAAATATGTCCCTTGTTGACCCGCAGCATAGCTTTTGGCTCTACCTAGAAGCTGCTATGACAAGAACTCTATCTAACTCAAAATGACTTCAGTTTCTTAAAATGAAAGTGAACTAAAGTAAGGAATACATACTGTAAATACTAGCTGAATTCTAGATTATAGATTCTTCGGATGATGGAGTCTAGTTCCAATTTGCTTGTGACTTGAGTCAAGATTTCATGGCATAACGTTTCACTGATCCTGCAAAGAATTACTTATTAATAAAATACCGATCCACGGAAATAAAATGGTTTACCCGAGTACTGCTGATTTGCGATGTAAAAAAATGATTTGAGTCCTTTGCACACATAGATGGTCCTTATGAAATATGAAATTGAAGACTTAAGAATAAAATTTTTAGCTTCTTACAAATAAATTGGGTCCAAAATGAAAAAAATTGCTGATGAGAAATACAATACTGTTATAATCTATTGATGTTAAAGATGCAGAAGTACCATAGAACAGTTCCAGTGAAAGCAAAATGAGTACAGTGGAAATGTAATGTTCGATGAGTTTGTAGAGCGAATTGCGGTAAATATAACGTTTAGGAGGACAGAGAGGGAAAACATTGTTACATACATTATGTAGTTGAATAGTAATGAGAACTTACATTTCCGGGGACCATTATCTTCATTCTTGCTGATTCTAATAGGAAAAAACGATTTAGAGGGGAGGTGGAAGTAAACTCATTTAGAGAAAAACAATTCTGATTACTCTAAATACATATTATAATTTCTAAGAAAGAGGTTTATGCCAAGACTTACTCTTCTAGGGATTCCCATGGGTACTCGTCAACACTGTACAATGGTGACTGGCTCCTAAAACTGTCACACAATTTTCTGTACTGGATTATTGATTCAAATTCTTCTGGCGAGATATTCACCGTGGAACAATGATCCTTATCTGAAAAAAAATGTACAAAATAAAGTGAAACATTCATATTTAGTTGATTAATATAAAATTAATGAGGCGAGTGATTAAATACCTTAAAAATATTTGAAAAGCAGCGCGAAATGTTAATGGAAAAGAGGTAGTTATTTTCATGTTCATCTTTATGTTTGCATAAAGAGTAAAAAAAAAAAAAAGGTTTTAACATACTTTCAGATGAGTAATTTGAATTTTAATTACCTTTGGTAGGATAGCTATTTGAAATAGCATTGATATTTCAATGCAATTTCCAAAAGTTACATGGAAAATTGATCCTTCAACACCATTGGATGACTGGTATACTGAGAGACATCTGTCATTAGTCATCATAGAGAGAAATAGGTTCAAGAGGTGAAAAATGCTGAACTGAGATTTTGTAAAAATGGAAAGAATGAATGTAATCTTCGCAGGGTGATATCTTTTAGATAGAGAATAGTAGTGCAAACCCCTTCAATTCATTTTTTTCGAAAATAAACTACCTCTATGCACAAAAGTTCAACAAAATTGACAATGTAGGCTTCAGGCTGAATTGATTTACCAGGGAGCGACCCTCATCTTTCTCCAAGTATGTAACATTGAAAGATTGAGTCTGGGTGGTGATCTTTACTAAAGGAGGGGTGGCGATTTGGGCCATTTCCGGCCCCACCTAATCCGGGACTTTTTTTGCTGTGATTCGTTACGTATAAGTGTCAAGAGAAAGCATGCCAAGTTTCAGACCGATCGGCCCAATATTCGGGGGGCAGGGGCCCCCCGAATTTTTAAGCGCAAAATCGGTTTTAATTTTGTAGCGCCGTCAATTTCGCTCGTATACAGATGAAAATCGGGTGTCAGGGGTAAAATTTTGCGTTCTTTCCATTTCTGCCGTCAAAATTGACACTGGGGAAAAATTAAGGGGGATTTTGGGGGGTTTTTCGCGTTTTTTCACGTTTTTTACCAATTTTCTGCGGTTTTCATGCTTTAAGTCAGAGATTTTGAGCCAAACGACCACAGATTTGATTTCTACGCAAAAAATTACACAGGAACTCAATGACCAACTAACACTAAACGGCGGATTTCTCTAGGAAAAACTGACCCATAAGTATGTGTTCACTCAGAAATTTTGAAAATAGCCATGTTTCGGGTACAGCCCAAGCTTGTAGCACTACCATATTCACATATGATACGCTCTAGGTCGACCCTGTTGATATTATCGGGAACTTGAAATGCTACCCGCTTGGGCGGAGGGTCGAATTCTCCTCAGAAACGAATAAAAAAGGCGATAAAATTACGTTTCACGTGAATTGTTGCGAGAGGAATGTTATTATATCGGCAACTTTCACCTTCAACTTATGTAATTTTTTGCGTGCTTTCCATTTCTGCCATGAAAATTGGCATCAAAGCAATTTTAAACGGGTTTTTTGGGGGTTTTTATCATTTTTTAATCATTTTTTACCAGTTTTTTCCGGTCTTTTGCGGTTTTCATGTTTGAAACCTCACCAAATGAGCCAAACGACCACAAATTTTAATTTTTCTCAAAATACGTTTACTATCACATCCATAAAATACGTCACGGATGAATCGTATAGCAGAAGAAATGTTGTGTAAAATCCTTATCTCTCATTCTGAATCCTCGTCAGACCATAAGTAAGCAGCATCCTCTAGGCAGGCTCCATAAGAGGATGACAATCTTCGGGGCTCTTTTTCTTGATGTCGGTAAAAACCAAGAAACCACAGAACTGATATGCCACATGAGGTTTCAAACACGAAAACCGCAAAAGACCGGAAAAAACTGGTAAAAAATGATTAAAAAATGATAAAAACCCCCAAAAAACCCGTTAAAAATTGCTTTGATGCCAATTTTCATGGCAGAAATGGAAAGCACGCAAAAAATTACATAAGTTGAAGGTGAAAGTTGCCGATATAATAACATTCCTCTCGCAACAATTCACGTGAAACGTAATTTTATCGCCTTTTTTATTCGTTTCTGAGGAGAATTCGACCCTCCGCCCAAGCGGGTAGCATTTCAAGTTCCCGATAATATCAACAGGGTCGACCTAGAGCGTATCATATGTGAATATGGTAGTGCTACAAGCTTGGGCTGTACCCGAAACATGGCTATTTTCAAAATTTCTGAGTGAACACATACTTATGGGTCAGTTTTTCCTAGAGAAATCCGCCGTTTAGTGTTAGTTGGTCATTGAGTTCCTGTGTAATTTTTTGCGTAGAAATCAAATCTGTGGTCGTTTGGCTCAAAATCTCTGACTTAAAGCATGAAAACCGCAGAAAATTGGTAAAAAACGTGAAAAAACGCGAAAAACCCCCCAAAATCCCCCTTAATTTTTCCCCAGTGTCAATTTTGACGGCGGAAATGGAAAGAACGCAAAATTTTACCCCTGACACCCGATTTTCATCTGTATACGAGCGAAATTGACGGCGCTACAAAATTAAAACCGATTTTGCGCTTAAAAATTCGGGGGGCCCCTGCCCCCCGAATATTGGGCCGATCGGTCTGAAACTTGGCATGCTTTCTCTTGACACTTATACGTAACGAATCACAGCAAAAAAAGTCCCGGATTAGGTGGGGCCGGAAATGGCCCAAATCGCCACCCCTCCTTTATGGATAAAGCTCACAAATTCACTTATCCAGCAACATTGATTCAGGGTGAGAAATATTCTAGTGGCAAAATATTTTAAAAATTTAAAATGAAAATTATCAAAACAGATTTTTATTTTGGTTGTGAACTAGATACCTACATGAATGTTCTGTGAGTAATAGTAAAATTAATATGCTTAAGGACATATTTGTATTGACATTTTACTAGTTGAAATACTGAAAATTACTTATAAATATATGTAAGAATACAAGTTACCTAATGGTGTTTCATTGATGTCACCCTTTACAACAGACATCATGCCAATATTAAATGGGTATGCAAGGTCTTTCTCAGCTCTGGAAAGTAAAAAAGAATGTTTAGGATTTATGTTAAAAATGTATGAACGTAAATTGAAGAAAATTAAAATATGTTCAGAGATGCATTCCGCGTGGCTTTTTCACAAATGAATTGGGGATAATACTGCCGGACCACAGAATTGTTGAAGTAGATTTATTACATTACATATGCATTTCAGAGTATTAAATCTTCAGCGTATTAAAAATTACAAACCATAAACTACAATAAAATGAAAAGTAAAAATAATGAGAGGAGCACTACTAAACAGGAGATGAATTCTAAAGTAAGATAAGTTCCCCTATTTATTTGTGAAAATTAGAATCCTTAAAAAATATTATAATATAGATTATCGTTTCCAGTAGTGTTTTCAGCAATGAGTATTTCTTCAGATTAAGAGAGCTAGTCAAATCTTTTTTCATCATTAACTAAGAACAATTCTGAAGCAAATACACGGGTGTAATTTTTGAGGAAAATAACATAGGAAGCCTGATGGCAGTTCGAATGACATACAATGCACCACTGGATAAAATCTGGAATCAAGTGTCACAACGTGTCTTTCCTTATTACCTAGAACACAGCTGACATCTTAAACGTTTCGAAGTTCAGTTATTCAACTAATACTTGAGAAATTAATGTTTTCTGTCCAATCAAACTCTTCACTCGACAAAAAAGAAGGATATTTGAATCAATTGGGCACTAAACTTATCTCAAGAAATAATCGAGGGATAAGTTTTTCAGAGTGTGCTGGATTTTTTGGGGCATGTCCACATTTGCCAACAATCAAAGGAAGGTGAAAAGTTTGGTAAAACTAAATTTCTTCAAATTCTTTGCCACGTGACACATTTTTTATCATTACCGATTTGACTTTCACTTATTTAAATTTTTTTGTAATATTAATTTCGAATGAATGCATCCTATGCCAAACTTTAGTCAATGAGTTTATTTTGGGAATTTTTGATATGTTCAACGTTTTTTGCATAACATTTTGATGATGAAGCAAGTTCTGAGGTGCTTCGATTTTTCCCTATTTAGCAGCCTGTTCCTGTTAAAATGGGTGCTTACCTTGCCAACTAGTGGAAACAAATTGTATTGAAGAGGTCTTTTGTAAAGGCCATATTCAAGACTTTACTGAGAAAACACGAGTGACAATTTTGACCTTAGTACACTAACTAGAAATGAATTAAAACCAAACAATTCAAACAATTCAACAATTCAAACCCTCCAAAACTAATAGTTTGAAGCAGGGATTTCAAATTCTGGGAAAATTTAGAAGATTTCAATATAAAATGGAATTTTAGAAATTTAATTTTTTTTTTATTCTTAGAATTTCTAGGGACAAAGATCAGATCAAGTATAGGACTAGCCCCTTAAGACTTACTAGACATAAAAGAAAATAAACCTTCTTATTGAAAAGTACGAACCAAACTTACCGTGATTCGCATGATTTTTCGGTAAAGAGCAACCTGCTGAGGTTCCTTTCTTTTCTTGAGCATGGAGCATCCACAACTTTGCAGTCTGCGCAGTCTAAAGACTCTTTCATTGGACTGCTTGACTTTGCATAGGAGAGTTTTCTATTTCCTGAGGGTTCAAACCTTCCGTCCTGAAAAAAAACCTTACAGTTAAAGACTTCAAGAATAAGGAAGGGGACATTTTCTTTTCAATATCTTTTACTCCTTTGTGATAGCAGAAAAAATAGGGAAGAAATAATAATAAAAAAAAAATGTAACTCCAATTCATATAATTATTTCAAATGTAAAATGTACCTCAAAAAAGCAGATGCAGGAAGAAATAATTACCCTCTATTTAGTCCTGCGTTTTTAATTGAATAAATGAAGACGGAATTAAATTGCTTCCTTCAACTTTTTTCAGCTACATTTGTCTAACGATAAGATCAAACAAGAAGTGAAACATAAGACCCATTAGTTGGTATCAATGTAAAAACGACAAGAATAGAGATTTTCAGAGGAGAGGTTAGCTTAGGAAGTTCATGTTACCATGGTTTCCAAGATGAGTAAGAAGTGCTGGCTGAAAAATTTTTCATGTCAGTTCCACTAATTTCACTCAACTTGGTAACTGTGATCATGAGAATAAGCTGAATGGATTTTTCTTAAAGTGAGCTATGGTGAGTCTACAAGTATTTGCTTCAACAGGGCCTTCATACCTTTCAAAATAACTAAGCAGAAGAAAGCTCCTAAAATGGATTTAGGCGACGGCACACGGCAATTTATTTTTCCATTCTTCTTTACAAATTTCTATTGAGGAAACTTTTGGGGAGAGGGGGGAGGCGGGCTTCAGTGACTGACAGCAGAGATAGGAAAAATTGGGCTTGCAACATTTTAACTTTTACCATGAAAAATTTGTGGGTTAGAATTAATGATATTCACTTGGAATATTTTAAAATTTATAAACTTTCATTTTCAAGGTGTACGGAAAAAAATAAATTGCTGATTCAACAATTCAATTGCTAAAAACAGTGAGTGCAATGTTTCAACGTAGATTTTACAACAAAAAAATGCTACTCTAACCACATTGTAAACTAATTTAACCATGGGGGTGGTTAAAGTAGCATTTTTTTGTTGTAAAATCTAGGTACATTGAAACATTGCACTCACTGTTTTTAGCAATTGAATTGTCGAATCAGCAATTTAATTTTCTTCCGTGTGGGTGTGTAATGCATTGATATGTGCATACTTCAACAAGATCTGTTTTTCCTTATTGATCATAAGTCAATGAAGATAACTACTTAGAGCTACTTTACTATTTAAAAGATTTTTTCAAAAGAGGAGATTGAAAAGTCATTATAAGGGCATACAAATGTCCCACCTGTTACCCTGGAATGACCCTACCTCATTATCAAACAGATGTTGAGTAATGTCATCATGAGAGCTTAATTTTTATCACTAACCAAAATGTATTCTAATTAAAATTTTTTGACAACAGGCAACATATGATCCTTTAAGAAATAGGAAAATGCATACCCAAAGTACCACTTATTCATACAATCAAAATCGTTACAACTCCGGACAAAATCATCACATTAATGACAGTCATGCAGGTGAAAATTTTTCGCAAAATGATGCCAAAATTCCCAGAGGCACTGAGTTCCAGAAGCCACTCACAAAAAAACTTAGTGCCCCTCTACCCATCAGTAGCATCACTGGCAACATCATCTGTGCTCTCTGCAAGGAGCCCATTAAAGGTTTGGTGAGTTCAGTGACAATTCTTCAGTTTCCAGTGATGATAAATTTTAAATTGGCCGGATAGAATAAAATTATTAGAAAATAAGTGGTGAGATACTGCCTGATTATCACTGAAATAGAGGAATTTTCTAGTAATTAGGAGATGTGGCAATATGCAAGAAAGAAACATAAATATCAATGGCTAAAAAGCGAAACAATGTGTCTCCGTTTGAAACGTTGTAGACTTCAGTTCCTGTCATACTTCATTTTTTCTTTGGACAACTAGTCAACGTAATTTCTTGAAAACTGCCGTTTTTTTTTTTCTGTTGGCAGAATGTATTCTGTATAAATTTCAAGCTACAGAGTTCGCTTGTTTCTCTTAGAAAAATGAACTAGGAGCAGAAATTTTGAAACACCACGATGGAGATGTGTGGTTTTGCATTTTGGCCAGGGGTATAGAGCTCTAATCATGAATTTTCTGGGCTGAAGTTCATTAAATGACCAATGAATACATTTTCTGGACTTTTCAAAATTATTCTTAATCACATTATTCATTTCCTGACTAAGAAGTTAGCCTAAGGAGCAATTAGTTCAATTTTTAAACGGAGAGATCTAGGAATTTTTGATAAAACCATTACAATTGTCAATTTTTGATAACGAGTTCAGTTAAAATAAGAATCGCCACAATTGCTTTGATTGTTTCCTTTGCATACCTATTAAAACATGACATAAACCCTATTTTCAGCTATAGGAAAAAACCTGCATGCCATCTGGCAATTTTTTGAATAAAGGTCGTTATGCAGTAAGGGTGCGACTTACATTATTTTCTCTGAGATATTGTAGATGTAGATAATTTTATATGCTTTATAATGCATTTGTATTTGAATATAGATTACCACAGCTGCAAAAAAAATAACCGAGTAGAATAAAACAAAGCTCATTCTTTGCTTCCTATGATGATTCTGACCAGAGGGATTTATTTTTGAATGATGACAAATGGTTTTTAATGGTTCTAATCTTTAGATTGTGCAAGCATTGAATCAGACATGGCATCAGGAACATTTCATCTGCTACCACTGCCACAAGCCAATTAGTGGTCAAAAATTCAATACAAATGAGGGGCTTCCTTTTTGTGAGGAAGACTACGCTTTACTTTTCTTAAAGAAATGCGCCGGCTGCAGTCTGCCAATCAAAGATGTGAGTAAAGTACTTTCAAGATTTTGCAAAACTTTGATACTGCGATCCATAGATTTTTGTAAATTATTGCAAGAAAAATCCAACAAATATTCCTTTACATTACAAAAATTTACTTATTGCTTCAAAAACTGTGATATCACAATAACTAGTAAAAATTGAATATTTGGGGTTGAGCCGCATTTTATAAAGTAAAGAAATTGAGCGGGACTACATGGTTCATGCAGCTTAAAGGATGTAGCAGATTGTCAAGCACTTTCCAAGGGTATTTTATTTTATCGCGTAAAAAAAGAAAAGGAGTTAAATCATAATCCACTTATCTCCGCTTGGTATTTTCTCCAATCTTTCTACATGTGAAAAATTAAAGTTCCGACACAAATAAGGACATTTAAGTTACAGGTGGGACATCTTTATGAAAGAACGCATTTGAATTACATACGTAACTGTGACAAAATACTTTTAAAAATTTTGGTAATGACGATACTTGCAACACTTGAGGCCTTGCAAAACATTGAACTATATATCTCTGAAGTGAACTTTCAGATTAATAAATAGAAAATGGATTAGTTTTGGTCATAATTTTGAAATTTCCCACGTCCACAGAAATTTTTTTCGATTTTTAATACAAATTATTTTTATGAAACTCTAAAGGTTGTTGTCAGAGCTTTAGATAAGGACTGGCACAGAGATCATTTTGTCTGCACTTCATGCGGTACCAAATTAGCGTACAAAGGCTTTTTTGAAAAGGAAAAGAATCCATATTGTCAGCAGTGTTACGAGCAAAAATTCTGCCCTCGTTGCAAAGAATGTGAGCAGCCAGTCTCTGACACAATTATCATAGCCCTTGGTGAAAAGTGGCATCAAAATTGTTTCAAGTGCAAGGTAAAATTAACTCCTATTGATTTTAATTTCTTAAAAATCAAGTTTGCGTTGGTTTGAGATTCCATGTTGCTCTAGGATCATGATTTGAGAGGAATGGCTAAGATTTTTCCCTAATAATAATATGATAATAGAATAATTTGGAAAAACTTTAATAATTCCGGAGTTAATTCACAAAATCTGAATAAACTACATAGTGACTTTAAAAAAAGAGAAGTCAAAAATGTATAGGACTTATTAAAAATAAAGATAAAGTTAATTGATTTGCATCAAAAAGATTAAAAGTATTTCATAATAAAAAAGTTCATGAAGAGAAGAGCATCAGAACATCAGAAAAACTTTCTTGGTATTGGCCTTTTACCTTTGAGTAAAGGCTTTGTGACATTCTCTGAACAATTATGTGAACAAAGAAGTTGCGCTAATGTTTAATCTCAATTTTATGTTTAAAAAACTGACAAGAGTTTTTGCCTGTTTTTTAAAAGGAAAAGCTGAAGTTAAAAAATATTTAAACTTGTGTTTGAAGCATAAAACAAAAGGAATGGACTGGGAAAATTCACAGAAATTACTAACATTACTTTTCGTTTTCATTCCAGCACTGTGTTCAACCTGTGACAGATTCCACTTTTCAAGTGATGTATGATAAACCGATTTGCGCTAAGTGTGTTCCTCTAGTTTCTAAATAAAGCAATTATTTTCACAGTGACTGTGTCTAAATTATTTTTTATGGCATGGTATCTGTTCAATGACACTTCCGGAACAAACAATTTATAGGAGATCCCTCAACTAAAATAAAGAGTTTAAATAAGAAATAAAATAAATATAAATTAAGAGAGAGTCTAGCAAAAGTAGGTTAAATTTATAGTGGCAGATAGGCGTAAGTGGTGCTCCTCATTCACTGAATAGGTTGGTAAATATATTCATTTCTGTTGACTCACCTCCCAATCTTGTTTTTCTCCAGAAGATGATACATGCGACAGCAACTGATGGGATGAAATATTTTGAGATAAGGTACTCTTGCGTGTTTGTGGAAAGATACTTTTCACTGAGGGTTTCATGGGGAAGTTCTGAAAAATCAAACCAAGCTTTAGAGAAACGTTAATTTTCAGATTAATCCAAAATTGATGAGAAAAGTCTTCTCAACTCAAGATTTTACTGATATGCAGGATGGCAGTACAGTGCGGTTACTTGAAAATATCTCAAAAACAGTAATAAACATTGACAAACATTTGACGAGTCTTCCAAAAATAAACAGGGGAATTCTTTTTAAAAGCAGGGGGGGGGGGAGGCTCTAGTCCAGTGCTTCTTTAGTGAAGGGAAGGGGGCAGCTTGAAAAATTTTGGTAAAGATCTTTCATTGTAAATACCTCGTTGAAAAAGCATAAAAAATGACATCTAATTACAGCCCAAAATAGAAATTGCTGTCTATTGCGAATTCAAAATGTCAGAAACATCTCTGTTGAACTGATAGATTAATACAGAATTTCAAATCAGGAGAATTTCTGGCTCCAGAAAAGTGAGTCTAGAATTAGAGTTAGGTACTGAACATTTAACAATTTCCAAAGTGGTGGAAAGATGGTATCTTTGTTGCTTCATGGCAGACTGAGCTGAATAATGTTACGGGTGGTCCTTCAGCATACAAAGAGTGAATCTGGGATTTAAAATTTACAGAAATTCCACCATATTCAAAATGACAACCTTCTGCACAGTCAAAAATGTTACAGTTATTTACTGATAATTCAAGCCAACAATTAGATTGATGATTTTTTTGAGAAAAAAAAACTGGTCAACTATGAGCTTTGTAATTTCTTTAATTCTTTTAAATTTGGATGCTAAATTTGTTCAATGAGGGGTGAAAGACTCCTATCACTTAACTTCAGCCAAATTTAATGTGTCATCAAAGAACTGCAACACCAATTTTTGGGCTAGAGGAGTCGTATTTTGTTCAGAGGCAATACTCGCAACATGTGAAAACAAGCAACAATCGCATTTTGTTTGAGGTTGTTTGTGTTGTGGGGGTTATTTTTGTGCGTAAAATTTGGGAACCCCTACAACAACATTGTTGTACAACAAACTGCAACGTGCTCAAAGCAAGTCGTTTTTATGTTGTTCAAAAAAGCAACGCTGTATTCTAACCTAAAACTGGAAGTTGTTCTCTTATTGGTTGTTCAGAATTGCATTTAAAAAAAAAGGAAAAACGGAAACATTTTGTTGTTTCAAACAAAACACATCTAAGGTTACTATTTTGTATTGAAATTTAAATGGAGGCTTTGGATGCGAAAAAGGTACTTCTCGATTGCGCAGTTTCTGAATCTCTGTTGCTAATTAATCCCTTGGAGAAGAATTTAATGGGTGATTTGTTTTAGAATTCTTTCCATAGAAAATTGTGTAGAATCATAAGGAACATTCGGTGAAATTTTTAGTGAAATGGATGCATTCACATTCTTTACAATGAATGAAACATTAGGAAAGACTCTGAAACACTGCAACCGAGAAGTGCCCTTTCCGCAACCAGTGCTTCAACTCCAAATTTGGTCTTCTGATGCTAAGAAATCTCTGAATACTTACCAAATTATAGCCTAGTCCATTGGTAACAAATAGAGATACCATCTTTCTGCTATTTTCACAATCGTTGAAAGTTTTGAAACTCTAATTAAAAATCGCTCTTCCCTCTTCAATAAAACTCCTGAGACTCAGTAACTACCAAATCAGGAATCAGGAGGCAGTTATTACAGTACCAACTATTCACCCTTTTTACCTTTAACTGCCTACAATCTTGAGACTGTGATGGTCAATGATCAGTGATTTGCTGGACATTATTAACTATTTCAAACTCTCTTGATTGAGATATCATAAATTGAGGGCAATGGCTCATATTTAAATTTCTCAAGTTGCCTCTCCTTCTCCACCTTAAAACATATAATAAGAGTCCCACTTTTTTGGAGAAAGATTAATCTAAATGTGGATCAAAATCAATCACTGTTTTCAAGACATCATTGTATCAATTATTTATTGCCATTTTTTTATCACTATTTACCACTGAGAGGATTGCTAGAGAATTTCTGATCGACAATGAACGATCATACCAATGCTGTCCTGCTCGACTTGAAGTCCACAATTACATGTTGAATCACAGGAAAAATTAATATTTAACAAACTATTCAGATATTCAGATTTCCTTTCGGAAATTTTTTTTGTTAACTTGCAAAGTTAAATCATGAAGTGATTAAATTATGCAATATTATAATTATAGATATACAATTATTATTGTGCAATATATTTAATGTATACCTTTCATGAAAACCAAAATCAGAGGTTACCTTTTCACCTGCTGGGGTGGTCACAGGACTAGGGACTAATTCCGTTAAAGTAATCACACGGGGTTCCACATCAACATCACTTGCCGGAAGAAGAGGTTTTCTTAAAGGTCTTCTCGTATTTTTCTTCATTGCATTCTGAGAATACATGGAGAGTTTTTGTGGTTGGCCAAATTTTCTCTTGGCTTTTGTATTAAGCCGCACTGAAGGAGTTTTGTTCCATACCTGACTTGTAATCTTTCGAGCTTCTTCAGCTCTGTTTTTGACTATACGATACTCAATCAACTTCAGAATGGATTCAATTTTTAGATTCAGCTCCTAATAAAAAAAAAAACATAAAAAGGTGAGACAAATACGTAAAGCTGGACAAGAGATCCTTCACCAGTGTGTGTAAATGTACAAACTAACCATAATGTCCGCCACAAGTTGCGATTTTACATTCCATTTATTGAAACCAATTTCATCAAAAAGAAAAAAGAAAAAAAAATAAAGTGACTACTCTAATCACAACGAGTGAACATACATATTTTGAGGGGTCTTCTGACTAAGAGAACTTCCTCTCTTTTTGAGCGATGAATACTCTACCATGCTAGGTAAGAGCACAATCAGTCACATTCAGTTCTCCATTTCTACATGGTAAGTAATATTTTTTGAAAAATAAACAAGCATGTTTTTCCTTGCTGTTCTTATCAAGAATTTTACCACATGGCTTGGTACGGGGAAATTTCATGTATACGTTACCTAGTTATCTCTTAACATATGTATTATGACAAATCCTAAGAAATACTTACAGATATTTCAATTATTCTATCTAGGTGAGTATTCACTGTCTTTTTCCTACTGCTGCTTAGAAGTTCCAAAGTTAACTTCAGGAGCTCCAATATTTTGTCTGCAACCAGAAATAGTTTTCCTGACTGAAGATAGCGCTCGCACATCTGCGTGACAACGTAGGAAAATATTTTAATTTTCTAGGAATAGGTACATAACTCTACAACAGTTTCAGAGAAAACTCAAAAGATGAATGCTGATGGATTTTAAAACATAGCTTCTTGTAATTGTTCATAGACAACAGCGATGTTGTTGATAAAAACAACAAATAAGCTACTCAGTTGGCCACCGACGTCTGTTGGCAGTGTGGACCCTCAACAGATACTAACAGGTGTTGGGGCACGCTAGACTGGCTGGCCACATCTTGTTGGGGTTGAATTCATAGTTGTTTCTTAAATACCTTCATTGCTCACTGAGGCCTTGGATGGAACAATACGCAAGATTTCTGGGGGAAAAATTCCAGTTGGGCTTGCAAATTGGTGAGCTGCAAATGATGGGCCAAGTTGCGCAATCTTACATCTCATCACTCAGTGACCAGGCATGAATCCTGAGTAACTAATTCTGCTTGTCCATCTACCGCGACCCAATTTTAGGGCATTTTGATAATTAATAGCCTTAAACTAAGGCAAAGTCAGACAAGCAATAAAGTATTTACGATTAAAACAATGTTACTTGTAGGATTTTACTCTTGTCTAAGGTGTAAGTTGGGGTAAGATGACAAACTCTGTTTTCAAGGAAAAATTCAATTCAGAGAGTATAGCACAAATAGCATTATTTGAAAGTAAGCTGGCTACACGATGGTTAAAAGGGCTAATTAATAGCCTGTGATAAAATCTTGCGTGAAATCAATTACGTTTGATTGTGCTTTGTGGCAGAATATTTTTGCAAACCTTTGTCTGATGTATTCTTCCGAGAGAGAAGTTTTCAAGATGGATTAAGTGAAGGAGTAATTAAGGGCCTGACTGACCGACTGAGGTGCTCTCTAGAGGCCAAGGCAACTGGCATCTGCTGCTGTGCACTCCGAAGTTAGACCATGCTCCTGAACTAAATCTCAAGATATTTATCACATTTTTTCGGAAAGGTTCGATGACCCTCTGATAAGCCGACGGTAGATCGTATTTATGACTGTTACAGACTCTACAGAACGCAGACTTTTGGAGCAAGGCCCTGCGCACTGAGTTGGACTCTGTTGTTTCAATCTCCCACTGATAGGTAGTGCTGGCAGTTGTGCACACTCTAAGTTCAAAAATTTGTTCACAACCCGGTCAAAAAGTGCAGACTAATGACTCACGGAGAGTTATCTTCTGTTAATGATGTGTGCTATCAACAGAAACCATTGTTATAGTTACATGCCATCTCTTAAAATGCCAGCTTACATTTATATTTATGAGATGAGTTTCTTCAGACAATTGAATTAACATACCTGGGATGCGCTTAAAGCACATTGAAATGCACTTCGTAGCTTGTGTGTCAGCCCACTAAGATAATTTTCATTAGTGAGTGAACTGGGAACCGGTAATTTTTCAATTTCTCTCACCTACAGCAAAAATGTCAAAGATGAATGAGATCAGATAGATACAAAATTAGACAATCATTTTCTGGATATTTACTTAACACTTGATGAGAGGTACTTCATGAAAATTTAACTCTCCATTAGAATGCAACCTCAGGATGGCCCAAATTTGGCAATAAGGGAATTTTTGAGGTCTTGCCCCTGAATTTCAGGTGAAGAAACGATCAGCCCCTTGCAAATATGACACAAGACAAGACTTGGTGCATTTTTGGACAGTGCAGATAATGTTCGGTCAAAAATAATAAAATCCAATTCCCCAACCCAACTCCACAAAAACATGTCTACTGATGCAAAATGTTGCTTTCTTTGAATACCAATAAGGTTACTTATCCCGGTACCGGTTACATGTGAAAAGTACTTTATGCAAGTGAAGATGACTGAAATATTTTTTAAAAATGAAACATTTACTTAAGAGACGAGCTCATAGTTTTGGAGAAAATACTTTTTAGTGTATTTTCCGAAGGAAATACACTATTGCATTCTCCCATGATGTCGGACCCAGACCTGAGACATTGTGAAGAGCACCGATCACGGGTCGTAGATCACGAAAATATATGCTATTCAAATTCATATATATATATATATATGATGTATGTATATATGTATGTATGTATGTATTTCCGCCTTTTTAAGATTTTTCGATTTTTGAGTAGTTATATCTTTCTTACGTTGAAAGATATTTTGACCAATTTTTTTGCATTTTGTAGAGACTCATTAGGACTACTATTCTGCGAAAAAAAATTGAAATTTGAGGCAATAGATTTTAAGGGGTGGGGCTCGAAAGTGGGGGGAGGTGAAATCTTGTCCACTCGATAACTCGAGCGAAAATGAATATTTTGAGCTGAAATTTTTATAGGTGGTAGTTCTCCCCTAGGACTGGTTTGGTATTGAATTTGAGCTAAATCGGCCGAGCCGTTTAAGAATGGCGAGCTTTGAAAGTTTTAGGCGAGGGGTGCGCGGCATGAGGGGAGCCGACCGGAGCAGGGCCGCACAGTGGGTCGGGGGAGAAAGTTTTTGGACAAGCTGATCGTCGCACAGTGGGTCAGGGGGAAGAAGTTTTTGGACAAACTTTTCGTCGCACAGTGGGTCAAGGGAAGGAAGATGCTGGATAAATTGTTCGTCGCACAGTGGGTCAGGTTAAATGATCTGTTCTTGAACAAAATCTCACCATTTAACCGTCATAACTTTTCGCAGCGCGTTCGCTGGCAACGTACGCAACTACTATTTTGTGCTATTGCTTTCCGGGTGACTGCCGGTGGGTATGTTGCTGCCGGACCGCCTCCACGTAGGCAATTTCTCGTACATTGTCCGTCCACAACCTGGTCAATCAGCACAGTAATGGGAATCCCGCTCGCCGCACACTCTCGCGACAACGTGCGCAACTTCTTGCTCACGACTCCACTTCTGTTTCAATTCTTCCCTATCTTTAAGGTTATATTTTGTTGTTAGTGAAATTTTGAAATTCAATCAATTATTCAATTATTATTTATTAGTTATTATAGTTTGTTAGTCAACGGTTGATCGCGTCTCTCAACAGAGATTTTTCTCCTGCGCTTAGGAGAATATCTTTCCCTTACAGATTGATCCCCCCCCCCCCTCGGAAAATACACTCCTCCCGCGGTGGACGCGCGGGTCGCTTAAGAAGACAGAACAACTGGAATGGACACTCAAACTAAAAAGCGCGCGCGAAGCGCGCGTCCTGGGGGGGCTTGGGGGGGCGAAGCCCCCCCAAAAAACCGGCGCGGAGCGAAGCGGAGCGCCGGTTTTTTTAAAATGATGATTGTAGTTGAAGGTTTTTAAGTTTGCCTTCAAACATTTCAGCAGCACCAGTCCACCACTTCTACTATACCTGTGAAAATTGTACCATAAGAAAAAATGCCACTTATAGAAATGTGCAGAAAAGACTATGCTTGTTGTGGAGGAATTTCTTTTCATTGATTACATGTTAATTTACCTACATCATTCTTAGATTCCTTCTTTTAATATTGGATCTGAGCAGCTTCATCCCTCACAATACTAAAGTTTTTCTTTTCGGCCTATTTTGCTACTTGAAATCTCCATTTTCAGAAACAAAATTAAAATCAACAGGCTGTTTTGCATAGATGACAGAAAATTCAACCTGGGAACTTACCAGCTTGTTCAGATTGTACAAGTGATTGCTTGTGAGTCGAGATGAAAAAGCAAAGGCTTGATTTCGTTTTTTCAAGAAATTTTCATCTTCTGGCACCTCTTCAAAAGTGTCAATTAAAGTGTAAATGCTGGACATAACCATCACCAAACGACTAAAAAGATACAAGCATCCAAAAAACAATCAGATCAGACGGTTCTTGTTAACAATATGATAATAAACAAGTTTTTTAAATCATAAACATGCATTTAAAACTTTGATTCTGCTTGATAAAATAATACAAGTTTTAATATTTCCTTTGATGATTGTGATTGAGTATGTGTGGCACTTGAGCCTATATTTTTACAAAAGAGGCAAGCTCAAAAATCTTAAACTTACTTAAATTGAAGAATACATAGCCGGAAAGTATAGGTGCTTAACTCTTCAAGCCTCCTTTAATTCTTTTGTTTATTACTTTCTTTCCCCTTCTGAGGAATACCCGTTTAAAACATGTTTCTTTTATCAGAATATGGCTTTACATAATCTATTAAATTCGTCTAATAATTATTTATTTTCTCTTGGGAAAAGTTTTAGCCAGATTTTAAAGAAAAGGAAGAGGAAAGAAAGACGTGAATTTCAGTCATCCTGAGCTTAAAATTTTGGTAAAGGGAAAAAATTTGGTGATAACTTACACTGCCAATTGCTTAGAATTTTATCTAACTAGTGTACAAACTTAGATTTAGAGAATTTCATTTCACAACTTCTCCAAACTCACAATCAACGTGAAAAACAAAATACATACTTGGTATGCATTTTTACCTTTTATGAAATTAGATCATGATATTGTTTTTTCTCACCTGTTGAGGACTCTCAACTGAGACAGAGGAACAGTTGCCCTGGGAATATTGGTGCGGGCTACTGATCGTGTTCCTTTCGCAGAGATGTTCAATTCAATATTACTATTTCTGGACCAATTGGTACAATTTTCCACCTTCAAAGCAGAGGCATGTGGAACTGGTTTGTTGGAGGCACGGGACTGAGTTTCTTCCAGCCTATCCTCCTCATTCCAGATTTCTTTAGGTGGATCTCTGAGTTTTAGAGAAGAGCTTGGCAGCCGCGTTAATTTTGTGGCTGGAGCTTCCTCCAATACATTACTTCCATCCGCACCCTCAGTGAAAGGTCCATTGAGCTTTAAAGATGAATATGATGCAGAATTTGTCTTATTCCAACAATGAGAAGGAGCTGCTTTCAGGATTTTCATGGATTTTGCCTCTGAGTTGTCCGACAGATCAATCTAAAATTAGAATGAATGTCTAAATATTCCAATTCAAACATTTTAGAATAAAATAAATGGAAAACGATTAGAAAAATAAATTGAACTGAAATGGTTAAATTTTTTCAAATACCAGATGTATCTCCATTTTCTGACTCCAATAGGAGCTTCCTTGGGAAAACTGCCCAAAAGCCAACAAAGCTATTATTTTTCATTCAAAATGCAGACAGGGGAAAAAAATGAATAAAATAAAAAAAAAACTTGGGGAAAAATGGGAATTCAAAATTGGTCCAAATTTTTTGTAGCTCAAGACTTTGACTTAGGATTGCAATGGAAACATCCAAAACCTTCAGGCATAAGAGGACAGATGATCAAGTAACGAAGGTGTGTCAAATAACTAGTAGTAGTAGCCTAGTACTTACAGAAGTAACACTTCTCCAACCGCTGCAATGAGTCGATTTAGATAAGGTATCAATATTTCCAGACAATGTTCTGGTGGGTCTCCTTGAATTATTGTCAGCTGGTTTTGGTTTATTATTCAAACCTCTGCATTCATCCTTGGACAATTAAAAACCAACCATTGACAAAAATAAAATAAGAAGTTAGACTATCACACAATATGATTTCTTTATGGTTTAGAAGAAGAAATAAACATTTTCTTTACTAAATATTCAGATGTATGCATAACCAGCCAGACTGCACTTTACATTGCTTAATTTCCTTTTATATTTTTTTTTTTTTTTTTTGGAGAAAATCAAGACAACCTAGCATTTTGAAATTCAGCAAATTTTTCTCAACTCATACAGAATACACTCACAAAATTTCAAGTCCAAATATTGCTCAGCTTTTTTGTGAACAAACAGCACATGAGAGGAAATGTATAGTTAGGGCAGACTTTCTGATAAGTTGTATCAAAGGAATAATTTAGTTGCATTGTAAATGGAAGCTAAAATATGATCTTCACACAATGGTTTTGTGTTCATCATACTCACTGCTTATTGAAAATTTACTTATAAAGACTGGGTTGCTGCAGAAAAAGGCTCTAAGAGAAGAAATACTACAATTCTAAGATTCTAGTCAATCCTTTGAATCCTTTCAAAGAAGGATTCAATTTTTGACCTTAACAGTCTCATTTAAAATATAATACCTCTCATTTTAATTACAACAGGAGTTACATTCAGAGGCGGATCCAGCAATTTGGCAACACCAGATTTCCTCCATTTAAACCTATGCTGAATAATCGATTCTTGAGGGAGCACCTGGCCCCTCCAAGAATCGATACATTTCAATATGTTTATATAGAGAAAAGACAATGTTGCTAAGTCGCTGGATCCGCCAATGGCTACATTGAGGATAAAAAAGAGGGAAAGAGATAGATGAAGGTGGGAAGATTGAAAACATGCAGTTATGCATGTAAGAAAATGCTCTGAGAGAATTTAAAAAAAAAAAAAAATAGGTATCCTAACATCATGTACCTTTTTGCTGTTGGTATTCTCAAAATAATCAGAGTCTTCTTGCTTCTTGAAATTTTGATTAGCATCTTCATTTTTCGGGACACCTACAGATAAAAAAATGAAATGAGACATTAAAATGTAATATGAAAACAGTTTTTTTTTTTAAAAAAATGATCAAGAAAGTGATTTGCAGGTGGGTGGAGAGTTGAAGGAGGGAACTTGGTTTATCCATCAGTAAACATCAGTCATCGATGAAGAAGCAGGAGACCACCTTTTGGGACAAAATTTCTAAAATGCAAATCGGTATTCAACAAAATTGAAAGTAAAATTAATAATAAGGAGAATATTTTTCCAGTATTAAGGCACTCTTTTACCACAGTCTTGACTGAGGTTGGCTTCAGGGTTGCCGGCAATGGCAAAAAAAAACTTTGCACCAAAATATCTTCTGAAAGTGAGCAGAGTATAGAAAAACATCTAATTTTTTTAAAAAGCCAGACATAGCCATCTAGCGGTCAATGGATGCCAAAATAGACTGATTCAGTGGCTGCGTCATTCCATATAATATCAAACCCTTGGTTCAAATGTAAACAAACACAGATCCTTGTTTCTGATTTGCGCCCTTTGTGCCATGGTGGTAGAGTGCATTCAAGTGTTTCTTACAATCAAAAGTTCTCGTATTTAATAAGTCTTCAATTGATTTATGACCGGTCAATGGCTACAAATTAATAAATTAATACAATTAACTCATAAAGAATTCGTACATGAGGCTATGTAAGTTTGTTTTGGTTTGAACCAAGAGTTTGATTATATATCGGATGACGTGGTCACTAAATCAGTCTATTAAACAAGATGATATGAAATGATACCTACAAAACCTTGATAGAGCCCCCTTCTGTAAAGGAACACTTTAGGTATGGAGAGGCCTGGTTCAATGAAAGTCAATACATCTGCTCAAGTCTGTGGTGCAATTGCAGATGAAAATAATTACCTGAAAAATTGATAATTTGAAGTTTCAAATGATTAATCAATTGAAGACTCATCTTTAGTTTCAAAATTTGAGCTACCTCTGTTGCTAATTTGTCGATATTTAGGGTTTAAAATTTATTCAAACACAGAGATACCTAAAAGAAATCTTCAGTGTTACAACTTACCATTTCCTGCAACTACAAATGTTTTGGCAGATTCAGGGGATGCGACAAGGTGACCATTTTCTTCAAAGGAGCTTAATTTTTCTATGAACCTGAACCATTCCTCCTCCTCTTGCTCCTTTCGTTTTAATCGCTGAACTTTTTTCATGGCTGCATTTAGTTCTTGCTCCAGCATGCCCTAAAATTGGTAAAATACATTTCTTCGTGAGTAAGAGACGAGAGAAAACCCATCCATGTCCATTTGTCAGGTTTCTTACTTCTTTTTAAAATAAGTAAGTAAATAAAATGGATGAAGTCAAGTAAGGCATGCAAGATCTATCTTCAACATTTTCCTCAAAAATACAAAGACGACAGCGATATAATTTTCCTCCAGAGGTATAGCCACTAAATTGACTGATGCTTGTGTAAAATTGTACTATTTAAGTTCACACATTACAGATTACTCGCGATTATATCGGTGGCAATTTATCACAATATTATCAAATAAAAAATTGCTATTTACGGCGATTAAATCGCTATGCATCGCAATTTTTTATTCAATAAAATTGCGATCAATTTTCGTCGATGAAATCGAGATTAAATCGCCATAAATTGCGATAAATTGCCGGGCAATAAAATTGCGATTTTAATGCAACAAGATCGAGGATAGATGTTGATGATCTTAGCAATTTTATTGCCGACAAAATCGCGATTTATCCGTTGAAAAATGCTACTTGGGTAGTTATACAAAATACTCTATTTTTTCAGCAGCTTTTACTTCAGGTGATTTGTCAAGCTCAAGTAACGTGGTCAAACTGGCTTGCGATAAATCGCATTGATTATTCTAAACCCAAAGGTCGGCAAAATTCAGAGAAATGAAAGCAGAATAGTGTTTGGAAAAAAAACCTCGCATTTGATTCAGCTACCGATTTCTGTATCAAATTCGAGGTTTTTGTCCAAACACTACTTTTGCTTTCATTTCTCTGAATTTTGCCGATTTTTGGGTTTATAATGATTCTTCAAGCTCATGCGCAGGGGCTAATGACCTTTCTTTTGCTAAAAATTCAAAATCTGCAGAGATTTTTGACCTTATCGATGCGATATATTGCATGCCAGATCGACCATGTCACTTGAGCTTGACAAATCACCTTAAACTGCATGACGATTCCTAATGTTGCCTCCTGAAGAGGTTCAAAAGAGATTGATTAAAAGAGAAGTTACCGTGAAAAATCCAACTTTCTCCATAGAAAGACGGCGACTGTGCATGATTCTCGATTATTTTGATGAAGTCTGTCGATGATGAGGGGATCTTGGCTTCTTCCGTTGAAATTAGAGAGGGACTCACGGGAAGGGAACTTAAAATGATAGTATTATTTACACGATAGTCTCATGATAATTATTTTTTTGGAGATGCAGAATGGAAAGCTTCATACATGCGCATCTCGTCTATGTTGTTAATACAATGAAATTGGCATGTGTTGAGACTGGGCTGCGGGAGTGCGGGGTGTTTGTTTACATTTTACAAACTGCAGACCTGCAGAAACAGAAAACTGTTGTTGTTGTTTGAATTTAAACTCCCCTCCTTCCCTCAGTTATCAGCTATCGCAAGAACCCAAGGACCAATGACCGATCTCCAAATTCCAAATCAGCTGATTTGTTATCAATTCCATTTGTCCTATCACTGAGCCATGAATTGGCTGAAGCTGACTGACTGACCCATGCAGTGATTTCTCCTATACGACTTATACGAGCTCAAGCATCCGCGTTCGTCATTTCAGAATTTACATATTCTTCTTTGCGTGTGTTTTTCCAACATACGCTCATCTCAAATTCAGTGTTTCCCGTTCTACCGACTACTAACCAGAACGTAGAATTTCACGGAACATCTCGCCGCACCATCTTTCACCCTGTGCTCGACTTGAATCCGTCATCACTCTCTTCAAAAATTCGTTTTATTACTTCTCAATCGCCGGTAAGTTTCGTTTCCATTTCCTGAGCTAATTAGCATGAAAGGCCCGTAATTTTTTCTCTTACTTATACTTTCACGGGATACTTAGTTGGCACGAATCTTGTCAAAATTTCAGTGAGAGCAGCCGGTGCATCCCATCAACCAAGATTTTCCGTTTTTTCCTTCTCTACAGTATTTAGCTATGAGCGCAAAACAGTGAAAAGAAGTTTACTGGTTGTACCCACTTCCAGCTTTAAAACGGAGTAATGTTTTTAGTTTTTCAAGTTTGATTGACAGGTGGCGTAGATATTTGACTTTTTCTGTGCCCATTTCTTCTTGCTACAAGTCTGAGTTTTTCGCTGCTAAGTTAGAGCACAAGGGGCACCTGGGATGAAACTAGGCACTAAGGACCCCGCACACTTCTTATGATGATGTGTACCACAATCAAATTCCAATTTTTCTAATGCATTAAACTTGTCTTTGGATGCTGATCCAAAGTCATCAGTGTACCAACTTTCTACGAGGTACCATGTTTGTAGCATTTCGAACAATTCGCAGTGGAAATTACAATAATTACTTGATTGAGGCGAGCAATGCGATATCTTTCTTTTAGCACTTCCTGAAAAGGAGGAAAACCTGGCAGTCTCATCTCGCCTTTTTGTTTCACCATCCAAATCAGATTCTCTTTCTCTCCCACTCTTTACCTCACGTATCACCAGTTTGGGTTTTCCGTGTTAAATTGTTGCACTGGCCTCACTTATTCAAGTAATTATTGAAACTTTCACTGCGAATTGTGCAAAAATGATGCCTCGTAGAAAATTGGCGCAATGATGACTCGATCAGTATCCATAGACGCGTTGAATGCAAAAAGATAATTGGAAATCGATCGTGGCACATATTTCCATAGGAAGTGCGCATGGTCCTTTAAAGATCATCTATAAGTAGACAAAGAGAAAACTGTGTAATTTCTCATGTTGGGAAAGAAAAAGGTAAGAATACAAAACCTTACAAATTCCGTGAATAAGGGGATTTTGCAATGTGCTCTTGTCATTTGTCACTTCTTTTAAAGGCTCCGAGAGACCCTTTTCACCTTTCAGACTTATGTTTCACCCTGGCAGTGACTTTTTTAAGTAATTATTCCAATTTGAGCATTTGTAAAGTCATTTTAAGTATCAGCAAATTAGTGGCTTATTACAATTACTTGCGAATGTTTTTTTTTTAAGCCAAAACTTCAAATCCATCTAATGCAGTTTTTTCCCCAAGTATGTGGGTATGCCCTCTGAAGGTTGAGCTCTGCACAATAGCTTGGAGATAGAGACCTCTTAGGTCTACATTAATCTTCCATTATCTTTCCATCAATTTTTGCGTTGCTCCTACAAGTGTGCTCAAAATACTGTGATAGTAATCTGCCTGCCCTTGAACCCAGATAGGCACAGTTATTGGCCTCCATGTAGAATTTCCCAACATTCCATCTCCCGAGTGATCTCACAAAGATTACCACACCATGAATGTACCACCTTTTAACAGCAGAGCAACTGATTAATTCCATCAATAGGTACTTGAGAAATAACCACTGACCCCTTCGTTATCAGTCTTAGTTACTTAAACCAGCATGGTTCTTATCAGTCTGCAGGCTGAGGTTCAAAGAATTTTGTTTTCATGCCTGCCTGTGGAGCATTATCTTTGCTTAATCTTATCAAAATAGTTCCTCACCTGCAGGTATCAAATTTAGTGAAGCGTCCGGCATTTCAGTCAGGTAGAAGCCAGTGATACAGTAGTAAGTGACCACCTTTCAACTCTATTTATGCTTCAAAGAGATTTTCAACTTTAATTATTCTGTAAGGTTTGTTACTGCCTACTTACCATTTCTTTCTCTATTCTTGTTAAATTTCTTTTTTTCACCCGAAGGAACTTGTGCCCCATTGCTATGTCTTGTTTCAGTCAAAATCAACAGTGCTGAAACACCCTAAGTCAAATTTAATGTGCTCACTTCTCTCACTTTATTGTGCATACCTACCTACTTAATAAAAAAGTGTGTGTGAAAATTGCCAAAAGTGTCTCAAGACAAATTTGCAAACTTTGGGCACTTTGCATGATCTTCATTCCTTATCTCTATCTTGCTAATAATTATTAAATATCTTTCTTATATTTATTAATTTAAATATATTTAAGTGATGTTTTATTAGTACAGCACTTAAATATTACTAAATACATTATTCTAGTGGTGGCTTTTAATCTCCTGGGATGCACTAAACTGCGATTGCTTTACTGCTTGGAAGCACTGATCTAAATTCCACAAAATTGTTTAAATTTCTCTCATGGTAATAGTATCCACAATCTGTCAATCGCTTGTGACGTGCACCCCAATCCTCCGATTTCCTGTGAAATGTAATCAGGAAAAATGAATCAGGAATGTCGGCCTCCTGTGGTGTAGTGGTTGTAGCGCTGGCCCTGTGACTAAGAGGTCCCGAGTTCGATTCCCGGCCAGGTGATCTGAGTTTGATGGTCTCAAGCAATGGTCACCTGGGGCTGGGGTAATGAGTGTGGGATCAGCCGATTGGCCATTTGAAATTGGTAAAAAAAAAAATAAAAAATAAGTCGGCGCATGCCTTGTAAGCTATTGAATAAATTGTTTTGATTTATTTCTAGACGTTACTGTCAGATGTCAATTTTGTGGAAAATCTAATCTCGATTTTAAGAAGTGGCGTTGACTAGCTGTGTAGTAACTATTGACATAGCTTAAAATACCTTGAATTATCATCAATTTTCTCTGTTCTTGTCTAGGTTCTCAAATAAGAATACAAAAAATGGCTCTTCCATCCCTTGTTTTTGTGCGGAACTTTGCATCTAATGTCATCCAAAATATCACCGTGGTCGGAGGGGGTTTAATGGGCTCAGGCATTGCTCAGGTAAACTTCAGCTGCTTACATCCAAAGCAGTGAAACACATTTCATCTTAACTCCCCCTATCCCAATTGATTTGCTTAATCAGGACTTCAAATATCCTCACTCCAAGGCAAGACAACTTTGATTTTGTCTAGGTGTGTTTGTAAGAGGAAGAAGAATTTTTTTATTACCTATTACAAGTTCAAAATCAGTTTGCCAGCGAACGCAGTGTGTTCAGGTAGCAGTATGTAAATATGAAGATGCATCATGGGTAGCAAATAATATTTATCTATCTTCAGATATTCCTTTATTCCAACCCAGTATAGATTTGCTTTAAATGCAGTTTATTTTGTAACTCAAGTGATCATGTTGATACCTATTTTTCTCCTTTAGGTGGCGGCTCAAGCAGGAAACTCTGTGACACTAGTTGACGTCAATGATGATCTCTTGAAGAAAACCAGTCAGAGGATTGAGACAAGTATTCAAAGAGTAGCCAAAAAAGTTTACAAGGTAATCGCATTCAACATGTAGTCTCCAGTTCATGATCCACATTTCATCCAAAATTGTCAAAGATTTGACCCGTTGTCTTTAAAAAAATGTTTACCTGTAACTAGGATCTCTCTAGTGGTGCTGTGCCATGAGCAATTTTCCTTTTAGATTCATCCTCAGTTTCATTTCTATCATGAGCACCATGATGGAGAGACTTTTTATTCATAATTAGTGGAATACAGAAAGTTTATCGTATGTTTTTTTTAAATAAGTTCTATGTGTCAGTTTCAAGGTTCCAAGTATCTTAAGATTTTTGCTTCCACTATTTCTGCAGGAGAAACCTGAGGATGGAGAAAAGTTCATCACTGAGTCACTGAAAAAAATTACTTACTCAACTGATATACCTGCATCTGTCACGAAAGCAGACTTAGTTGTAGAGGCTATTGTAGAAAAGATGGATATCAAACACAAGCTATTCTCAAGCATTGACAAAGTAAGTATTTTATAAAAACTTTCATTTTATCAATTATTGGTGTAATTGACAAGGGATCTTACGATCTTGCCTCTTCCTAATCAATCAATGGACAAATTGTTGCCACTTAATAAAAATTCATTTAAAAATTGCTAAAATGTGGATCCAATGGATTTCTATGAGCTAAAACTAAGTTATTCAAATTTTGAGGGGGCATGATTGGAAGGTCCCTTACAATCAAGTCATCCATGTATCTTATTTATATGTACCTACCAAATAGGCACAAGTGATAGCCATACCTACTTTTTATCAATAATTATATTTTTAAGTAATTACTTTTTGCTTTCTTTCTTGCCCAATGATTTTGTAAAAAAATCAATGGGCAGAGAAGAAAGCAAACATCAATATTACCATGACTCCCAATCAAGGAAACCAAAACACAGAATTATATTTTTGTCTCATCCATTCCATGTTGAAAAATCCCGCACAGTATTTCTTTATATTCATTTTAACCTAGTTAAAGTTTAGAAAGATAGCATGTAATAAATATATGTACCAAAGAGTCTCTGAAAATACTTACGTAATGATTCTACCATCAGTTAAAGAAATTGGCTGAAGCCACTATATCTAGTGAGGCAGCAGCAATTCCTCTTTTAATCTTATGTGCCAACTGATGAGGACTATTTTTGGATTTGGAAAAGGGCTTACATTCTTTGAACAGCTACAACACCATTAAATGCATCGTTGAAACTAACCCACCAAAATCTTACTATTTTTCCACTTATTATTGAATCCCTCCCACGCATTCAGGTTGCTCCAGAACACACAATTTTTGCCTCCAATACCTCATCTCTATCAATCACAGAAATTGCATCTGTTACCAACCGCAAGGATAGGTTTGGAGGTCTTCATTTCTTCAACCCAGTTCCTGTGATGAAGCTACTAGAGGTATGTACCTAATATGATGTTAGTCAAAGTCTATTCTTCATCCAGTAATTTGAAAATAAGCATTTTAATTTTATTCTGATTATTATCACACAAGTCTGGCGTAGGTTGCCTCCAAAATATCCAGATCAGGGCTATGATTTCAAACAAATGCAGCTTGAGAGCAGGTTCTGATTGCATTTAAAAGAATAGTATGTTCTCCATTGACTGACATCAAGTTGAGATCACTTGAACCACGTTCAGCAGAAAGGAACCAAGCCACATCAGCTAGGTACCCAAATTCAACTGGGCAGTTTGATTTTACATGAAAACAGCTCTGTGGATTTTGGTGGAAATTTCAGTGGATTTTCTGTATTCCACGAAGCAAATTCCTGTAAATTTTCCAAGAAATCAGCAGAAACGTTTTCTTGTAAAAAAATTAAATTGCCCAGTTAAAATTGGAAATAGCTGATGTGGTTTGGTTTCTTCCTGCTAAATGCAATCCATTTGGTCTAACACTCCCCATTTAAAAAGAAGAGAAAATGGTCCCTCAAACTGTCTTTAACAAAGATTTTTTATTCCGAACAAACATTGGTAGTTATGCCAATGTACCTACAGTAAAATTCGGTATGAAACTCAAATTTTCATTATAGAGGGAAATAACTAGTTTGAGCAAAATCTCATAGAGAAATATGCTGCAAGTTATGACCAATCAGGTAGGCAACTGCAGATGCTTCTTGGGTCTAATTGAACCTATCATCAGTGCAGCGAAGCCCCCTGATTTTCTGAGAAAAATAATACTTAAAAGTGAAGGTAGGAGTTTTCATTTTTTCTTGTTTTAATTTGTCAAAAATTCGTGAATTTTAAACTGACAAGGGGAGCTTCCCAAGTGTAACCGGAATTTCGAGTTGAAATTTCGCATGAAGATACTAGAGATAATTTTAGGGATGCCGTATTTTTTCGTTTTTTCAAATGGGGTCGGGAAAGCCCTCAAAAAAAGGGCTAAAGATGCGGAAAAAACGCGTGCGCTAGCGGCACAACGTAAAGCTAAGTGATAGAGGCTCTGCATCCTTATCAGTACCGCATGGCCAAACGGTAGCGCGCTCGCCTCGTAGGCGGGGGGTCCTCGGATCGGATTCTGATTACAACTCGTAATTCTATTTTACTTTATGCTTGTTTATTTTTCACTTACTTTATTTTGCACCATTCGCTCCGCAAACCGACTTACGAGGTAGAACGCGTAGTGACTGAAGATTTTTTACATATGTATACTGATAAAAACTCGAAGTTTCTCTTGGATTGAAACGTTATATATAATTGAATAAACAAAACACTCTAAAACTCACCAAATTTCATCGCCAAGCTGAATTTCCGGAGTATCAGTCGAATCTGTATCTGTATCGGACTGATACTCCGGAAATTCAGCTTGGCAACGAAATTTGGTGAGTTTTAGAGTGTTTTGTTTATTCAATTATATATAACATTTCAATCCAAGAGAAACTTCGAGTTTTTATCAGCATATGTAAAAAATCTTCAGTCACTACGCGTTCTACCTCGTAAGTCGGTTTGCGGAGCGAATGGTGCAAAATGAAGTAAGTGAAAAATAAACAAGCATAAAGTAAAATAATATTACGAGCTGCAATCAGGATCTGATCCTAGGACCATCCGCCTACGAGGCGAGCGCGCTACCGTTTGGCCATGCGGTACTGATAAGTATGCAGTGCCTCTATCACCTAGGTTTACGTTGTGCCGCTAGCGCACGAGTTTTTCCCGCATCTTTAGCCCTTTTTTTGAGGGCTTTCCCGACCCCATTCGAAAAAACGAAAAAATACGGCATCCCTAAAATCATCTCTAGTATCTTCATGCGAAATTTCAACTCGAAATTCCGGTTACACTTGGGAAGCTCCCCTTGTGAGCTCAACTTGATGTCAATTGAAAGAATATAAGCTGTTCTTCTGAAATCAACTTGCAGACTGCATTCCTCTCCAAGGTAGGTATGGTACCAGTCCTGATATCTAGTAGGTACCAGTAGTACAAAATAGTTACAAGTAGTTTTTATATTAGCTTTGATTACATAAATCCATCCACTCATTATTTTCAATTGGATAATGGGAGAGAAGGAGAGGTAGGGAGGGTATGAGGAAAGGGGAAAATAGTGGGTTAACCTCTGAGGAGAAAATTTCAATACAAAGGTAGGTACCTAATCAGCTTGGAGAAATACAACGAAATTTCAGTTTTAACTTCTAGTGAACCTGTGGCAATGTTTAGGCATCATGAACATTCTATGGATTTTTCTTTTTCAATTTCTCAGTGTCATCAGTTAGGGATTAACTCTGTGTTTTGACCCCACATTTACTCAGCTTCAGCGCAGTCCGATCATCAAAAATTATCTTTGTATAGATTCAATGAAATCAGGAACCTCTCAGAGCCATATCAAGCACTACAATCAATAGATTAAAGTAGATTACTTCTCACCGTTAAATATCACTTGGCTTTTTAATTTAAATTTGTATTTTTATCTTGTGCTCAAGCAACTGTATCCTACAATTAGGCTACAAATTTTACAATCTTTGGCAAATGATTTTGTAGCTTTCAAAGTAATTATACAAGGCGTCTCCTGTCAGTGAAAACTAGAAAACATTAGAAAATTCGATGTAATCAGGAAACCTCGGGAAAAGAGGCCATCGATCAGGAAATTCCACAGGCGTCGAGCATTTTTCAACTACATACAGTTTGGTTCATATGAAAGTTGAACTTTTGATTCAATTCATTTAATATGTTTGTTTGTATGATCAAACTAGTGTCATTTATTTGAGCAAAAATGCAGGAAATTCCATTAAGACTAAAGTAAAACCTTAGGAAATATCAAAAATGAAATTTTAGGAGAGACCCTGCTGTATCTTCTTGCTTTTTTTTCTGCAGGTAATCAGAACTAATGAAACATCTGATGAAACATATCAGAAAATGATGGCATGGGGTAAAGCCATCGGTAAAGTCACTATTACTTGCAAAGACACCCCAGGCTTTGTCGTCAACCGTCTTCTTGTTCCCATTCTTCTTGAAGCTATCCGAATGTATGAACGAGGTAAAGTTCACCATAATTGTAATATATTTTTTGTTTTAAATCTTAATCGGTAGTTCCAATTGTAATTTGTTTCATTGATCTACTGGAGAAGTCCTCGCTGAATAAGTTTAAACACTTACAGGGTGGAACATCTTGGATGTTAATGTCCATTTTTTTTGGTCCATCAGGACCGATGCAACCAATAACGAAATGGAATAACATAACAAATTATCAAACCGAGTCAAATTTTTTAAGTTTTGCGTTCAGAAGGCATTGCTCACATCCTTTTTGTCTCTATGACGCAAAACGTCTCTTGTAGCTTCATGAGAGGTTTCAGCTCAGTTCTATTTCCACCATTTGCCTGAAAAGTTCACTTTTCTATTCTCTCAAAAATTTAAAGAACTGTTTTTAGTGCTGGGGATAATAAGTCAAATACTTTGATATATTACTGAGACTTTTTGTAGAATGCCCAATTTGACTTTGGCCTGTGTCTAGGATAGCTATAACATTTGTGTGGCTCTTCCAGTTACAAGCTACACAGTTGAACATCAGGGATACAGATCTACAGTGAGTTATGTCTTTCCTAGATTCCCCTGTAAAAATTTCAAAAATGAAAAGAGAAGAAAAACAGAGGATGATGCTCTATTTTTTAACAGTGTATTCATACTTTTCTTTTTTTTTTGAAGTGGCTGTTTAAAATTCATACGAAATGGATTATATTTTCATTGACAAATTTTCATTATCTGACTTCTGTGACCACCCTGGTTTTGATGGCAAATACAAATAATATGTATTTGCCTTAAAGCAGGACTTCGAATTTCCTCAAAGACCGTCTGAAGCAAAACAAGTAGTCAATCTACATCTTTGGACAAAGGCTGTTGATGTTTCATGATCAAGGTCTCATGCTAAACAATGTAAATATATTTTGCCATCTTTTGTGATGAAAAGTGAAGAAATACTTAGCGCTTGTAATCTGCCTAGAAGAGCATGGAGACATGATCCTCTTTTTTAGGGTTTTTCATTAGATTCAGGAGTGATTCTCCTTTTTTAGATTCTTACAAATGAAGTTCAGCCGCCTGATGATAATAATCAATGAAACAAAACTTGATGCATTGCTTCGAACCAGCTGACTTATTGATGTTCTTAAAATGTCAGTGCTGTTTCTCAGATGAAAATGCTTCTCTTTTGTTTTCCCGGGTATTTACTCCATAGAACTGTGATAGAATCAATGTTTGAATCTTGTTTTAGGTGATGCCTCTGCTAGAGATATCGACATTGCATTGAAATTAGGAGCTGGACACCCAATGGGCCCACTAGAGTTAGCTGATTATGTTGGCCTTGATACTAACAAGAATATCGTTGATGGTGAGTTTAATTAAACTGAATCACGCTCATTGACAAAAATTGAACTTTCATGCTTAATTTTCAATACAATCTTTCAACTATCTGAATACAAAATACAACTATGCAAAATGGACCACTAGAGGAGGTACAAATTTAAGGGTTCTGGTTCTTTTTTCTTTTTTGACTAGAATTTCACGTAAAACACGATTTTTGCATCGAAAATTACGGAAATCATTTCCTATCCAACATATTAACGTTTTTATTTTACATTGGTTACGGGAAATTTGAAGTGCCCCATCACACGAAACTCAACACTCTACGTGAGTCCAATGGTGTATTACAACGATTTCGGCAGGCTTCTCAATCCAGCACTGTTCATTTCCCACCCAGCGTTGTTCATACTATAAAAAACTTGCTACAACTAAACCAAAATATCAAGATTGAGGTTGCCAGATTTGCAATTTTGCAGAGAAAGTCATGATAATTTTTAACGTGCGATTGGACTCACGTAGACCATTGAGTTTTCATGAGTGGAAGGTTTGAATTTACGCGTCAAGAAACAGTAAATATATTGGTCAGGAGTTAATTTCAGTAATTTTTGTCACACAAATCGTTTTCTAGGTAACATTTTGGTTAAGAAATATGTATCAGAATGCTTAACTTCGTACCTTGTCTAGTGATCCATTATCACTATTTTAAAGACTTGTGGACTCATTTTAGAGTATACCTAATAGTCGCACATTAAAAATAGAGGCGGATCCAGCAATCTGGCAACACCGGGCTACCTCCATTTACACCTATGCTTATTGATCAATTCTTGTGGGAGTACCTGGCCCTCCAAGAATTGATACATTTCCATAGGTATGAATGGAGAAAAAACAATGTTGCCAATTTGCTGGATCCGCCAATAATTAAGAAGAAAAAATACTCGGACTACAGTAATTAACCTGATAGAACATTGCTTGGTCCACTCTGTTCTAAGGAGAATTGTCCACCAATAAATTTTTCTTGGGCTTCCCTTATTTAGTCCTCTTGTCATTGAAAGAACCCTGCAAATCCTTCAAGGAATTGTCTCCTGATCGAACAGATAAATGCGCGGTTTTTCTTAACTTGTGTCAGAGAATGTGTGCCTTGCTTGTACTATCTACCTTTTTGCAGAGTAAAGATATTTTGAAGCTGAGCTTACTATAAGTTTTTGCTCCAAAGAACTCATTGTATCCTTGCTTTTCTATGCCTAACACGACACTTAAAGGACCCTGAACTTCAAATTATAGACCCAGATCTTTTATTTATTATTTTTTTTTTTTTTTTTTTTTTTTTTTTTTTTTGTAAAAAGAAACTACATATTATCCTGTCTTTGACTAATGTTCTTTCTCTAAATTACAATTTTCAATCTCAGATTTTACATTATATTTGAAGCTTCATTCACTACATACTTACGTTAATTTCGTTTGGGTACTTTACACAGGTTGGCATGCCAAGTTTCCAGACAACCCTCTCTTTAAGCCAATTGACACTTTGAACAAGTTGGTAGCTGAAGGAAAATTGGGAGTTAAAACTGGTGAAGGTTTCTACAAGTATGAGAAAAAATAGTCTGAGGTCAAAGAAAGGTTGAGAATCATTTTATGTATCTGTTCTTAATGGTGAAAGTGGAATTATGGTAAGCATCAATATAGTATTACAAATAAGAGACTGAATTTCAGCAAAGTTTTAGCCGTGTTGTTTTTAAGTAAATTGTTATCTAAGTTTGTTTCATATTTACGACAGAAATTTTCTGTGATTTTTTCGCTTCTAAACAAGAAAAAAGTCAGTTTTAATATTTATATTTTTATACTAGAATAAATTTATTTTAAAAAAATGTTTTTTTTCTCTCTTTGTTCTGTACGAATCTGGATCTGTCAAACCCCAAAGCAAAATGATACTGATTTTTTAACTTTCAATTACCTGACCTTATCCCCCAAGAATTTTTTGAGAGAGAAAGTCATATGTACCTCCTAATTGCTCAAAAATATTGAAAAAATATAAGAATTTAAGGTGAGGAGCGTATTCCTGTTCAAATTTTAATGCATAATTATGAACGAGGCAACAATGTACATGTTCCAAAGTATTTGGTCGCTAGAGTTCAATCTAAAGCATGATCAAATGAGATAAACTTCAAAGTTTTAATAATGGTAATAATTTTAATAGCAATAAAAATAATAATGATAATAGTTGTGTTTTAATACTGTACAAGTAATTACATAAAAAATTTAAACAGGTCCAAGTAAATAAATAAAATAGTGTTTGTCATATAATTACATCAGAGCGAAACTATGTACAAAATTAATTACATCATAATTACAATAACAAAATAGGTACCTATCGATAATTTTGCTGGTCAATGTACCTATATCTATGGGGTTATGCTTCCAGTGTATTTTTTGAAATATCTACTGATAGCGGAAAAATTTCATAACTTAATATTAGAATTTAGAGACAAGAGATATTCATCATCTAGACTCTTTAGCAGTGAAATTTTCCGAGTCCAACTACATTATTCAAAGCAACGTAGAAGCTACGCACTAATTATTCTGTTGTGGTAGGCAGAAGTAGCCTCTTTAGCTCTTTCAACGTTTTTTTCACCCACTTTTCTTTACGTAATGAAACTCTCTGGTGCGATTTTCGTCATCACTTTGGGTAACCTGCTTTTCAACTAGTACTTTTAAAATTATGTTGCAAGGACTCCTCTCTTTGTGATGGTATCAAATTCTCTTGGTAAAATTATATTCATAGATCATTATGTTTTAAGTACCCGAGTCGTGAAGCTGATCAAGAGAAATGATGGCTTGAAATTCACTGTTGATAGATAGCAATACGAAAAACTCTGATGCCGTAAACAAATTAATTTTTAAATAAATTCATTAGTGAGTTTAGGGTAATAGGCATATGAAAAGGCAAGATTTTAGCTGATGTGTAAATCAGTAAGTCTGTTTCATTTTTTCACTGAAGGTTCTTCCAATGAAAAACAAAATTCAATAATTTTTTCAAGCTCCTTTGAACGAGTTTTTCAATTAATTTTTGCTGCCTCACACATGAGTCGAGAATTAATGCATATGGTCAAAATCTTCAATTTTTGGGAAACTTTACGTCTACTAGTCCGTTGGATCACATTTTGCCATGAGGAACCACTAGTTTTGTCGCATTTTTGGAACAACATTTATGCCTTTAGTTTTTGTTTGCAGATAAGTGCTTTTATGGATGAGTGAGGAATATAAGTTCCTCATGGCAAAATGTAGTCAAAATTGTTTACAATTGGTTTTACTATAAACCAAATTGGATGTAATTTCCTCGAACATATTTTTTTTCTCTCTATTCTTCTATCATATATTTAATCAGGATATTAATTTTTGAGTGGCAAGTATTTTTTTTGTACCTACACGCGATTATATTGATATGAGTAGAATGGAAGCCATCATCAAAATTTAATCAGGTGTTTTTGTTATCCTTGGCTCTTAATTTAGAGCTGTGACTTAGATCTGAGGTACAATTTGAAAAATGCAGGGTAAAAAATGCTAATCTTGTAAAACTGAGGGTAAAAAACCACAACTGCAGAGAAAATTCTGTTGCTAAAAATTATGATCGAGAATTTCTCATAATGGCTATCATGAGTCACCAACCTTTGTTGCTGCAGCTTTGTACATACGTAAGATTTTCGTTGACGATTTTTTGAACTACTAAGAATATACTTATTAGAGTTTTTAAAAAAAAGAAAAAAAGAGAGAGGAAAGGGATGTCTATGCATATTTATTGACAACTCTACTTGTATAAAATTAAATGTTGGAAATTGAGACAACTAAAAGCGTCCATTAGAATAAGTTAAAAAATGCAATGTAACTCAATAACACTTTTAAAACGGTGGTTTGACATCTCTAAATAATGGATAGAAAAGTTAGATGAAAAATTTATTTTTAACCCTCTGGGCATCCGTTATTAAGATTATCTCTTTTGCTGCAAACAAAACAGCAGATAGGTATGATGCTTAGTAATGATGAAAGATACCAGCATGTTTGGGAAATGGAAAAATGTGAAATGGTCAGTTATAGTAAAAACACTGAGAATTGAAGGGTGCAGGACGCATATTCTTCACCATTCAAGAGAGCTTAATTATCACAATTTGCTTAGAAACTGTGCTCTTTTCTTTCAAAATTTGTAAACTTTCAGTTTTTCTGTTTTTGTTTTGTTTTTTAAATTACATCTAATCATCTTTTTAGAATACGCGTAATTCCTCAGAAAAATTGACCAAGTCCAACTGTACTAACAAATAAATTTGACCTATTAAGCAAAGTTAGGGACTCACCCACCCTCTCTCGGGAAACAATTTAAGAAAAGAAGGTTATGCATTTAGGCAGTTACTTACACTAGATTCCCTAAAGACAACATGGGTCCTTATCTTTGACACTAGTGATTTTCTTTAGCTTTGCTCATGTTCAAGCTCGGAAAAGATGTAAGCATAAAGAGAGGTTTCTATTCAGTGCTAAAATTAGACGACATTAAATAGAAAAACTATTGGGATACTTATTTTATGTTGCTGGAAAGTCGCTTCCAAGCCACTATATGAGAAGAATCAACAAAAGCGTTCGAATATGTACTCAGGCTAGGATCCCTAGCATTTTCAGATACATTTCTTCAAAGAAATTTTCGTTTAAATAATGATGAACTTGGGTCAAGACTGAAGAGTTAATGAAAACCAAAAAATGCATTTTTCTTCATGAGTCCACTATACATCCTTTCTACATTATTTTGCTTGATTCTATCCAGTCATCAAAAGCATAGTCCCAAAAAATTGAAAATATTTGTCTGCAAATTATTGGTTTTTGGGGAAAATGAACAGTGAATCTAACTGGACCTCCACCTTTTCTATCCACTTTGAGTGTCAATCATAGTGTTTTATTTATGACTGCATTATTTGCCTCACAAATACAATAAAATTATCCAGAAAATCCAGAATTATCCAGGTTTGCAGAATCCAAAGGTTCAGGAATTACCTACCTATCAGAAATAAACTACTCACAGCCAAAACCGTTGTAAGTAATCTGAATTATCAAAATATAATGAGATTTTAGACAAGCTTTTCACTATCAACATTGTAGAATAAGATAGAAAGAATAACTTCAGCTGCTGAAATTTGGATTTTTGCACAAGATGGCCCCTTTAGTGGGAATGAAAAAAAGAAATAAGTGCAGAAAAGAAAAATGAGGCTTGAGTTTAAGAGTTACACTTGTCGAATAATTTAAATTGTAAATCAGTTACTTCTTCTTAACAAAAGAAGAAATATTTTCTTGCAGCAGTGTTCTGGATCTTTCTCTTTACGAACAACTATAAAAAAAAGAATAATTGAGGCTCTGGATGCAAGAAGGGCACTTCTCAATTGCGGTGTTTCAGAATCTCTGTTGCTTATTAATGCCTTGGAGACGACTTTAATGGGTGGTTTTTCCAGAATTCTTTTGATAAAAAATTTCAGAATCATAAGGAATATTCAGTAAAATTTTTCGTAAAGTGGACTTTCCTTACAATGAATGAAATATTAGAGGAGATTCTGGAACACTGCAAGCGGAAGTGCCCTTTTCGCATCCAGTGCTTCAATTGTAGGTAATCCACCCTCATGAAATCTTAGCTTTGACCATGCATCCTCTAAGTATAGACTTCATTTTAATTTTCTGCACGATGGAAAGGGTTCTTAAATATACTCGGTTCTGAATACAAATCAAGAATAGAGCTAGAATGTGAGGGAACAATCGGGAAGATAGGTGGGTTGTTAAATGTTGTTACCATTCTATCAGCTTGCCTTGGTTAGGCATAACATGTGGTCCAATATTTGATGCTTGTCTAAAGTAATACATTTTAAGTAGACCAGCTTATTAAAGTTCTCTAAATGTTGTTTAATCTTAAATACATAAATCAAGTCTTTATAAAATGAATGCAACTATGGTTGATCTGATCGGTTTTTTTCAACTTTACTTTCCAATTTATGGATCAGGAAACTTATAGAAAAGTGCTTTGTAAAGAGCTTATCATAGAAACTCTCACATGATTTACCTGACACCTGTTTCCGCATTTTTTTCATCAGAATGTTACAAAAGTTTCAAGTATACCTACGTGATACAGAGTTTCTGTTTTCCTCCGTGTCTGTGCCCCCCCCCCCCCCCCCCATCATAAATTTTCTGCTAATTTTCGGCAATCTTTGGGAGGAAGGGGACATCTGTGGCCTCCTCTCTCACGAGTATTCATGATAATTCATACAGAACAAAAAATCATGGCAGAATTCTATGATAGGTCAAACTTAACATTGCTGTGAATAAAGTCCTGAATAAGCCCCTATTTAGAATGTGATCATCGAACCATAAAAAAGAAACGCTATGAAGCAATGGTGTCAGCATATTCCAAAAAACAAAAAATGAAAGGTAGAAATGAAGTAAGATAAAATCATGAAATGGCTTAAGACAAGAAAATCCAAGCATGAAAAACAAAATTTCATGCTCACTGGTTCTTTGAAAAAAGCTAATTTTAAGTATTTACACATATTTGAACGATAAGCCATCGACGTAATGACCATTTACTTACAAATTGATTATTGACAGGCTCATAATTTTTACATCTTTATGTAGTATATATATTAGGACTAATCAGTTCAAATTTTTTCTAACTTAAGTTGGCGCTTGTTTGTCTATTGCTTAAATGTACGTCCGATTCCCGATAAGTGAAAAACTTTAGGCCCTTTAATTTTAGCAAATAAATCATCCAACTTACACAGGTCCAGAACCCTTCATTTGCGTGACTTTTTAACAACCACACTGTATGAGTTAATTCATTGTAATTCAAAAGAGGAGCGGCTAAGTGTTGATCCACAAAGAGAGGTCCTGGTCACATACAGATCACATAAGATCTTATCACCAAAATCTTAGGTATGAGCTAATGGAGTCTCTCGTCAGAAGTTCCGGTTGAAATTTTGCTGGGAGTGTATTTCCTTAATTTTTCTTGTAAAATAAAAGGTATGGATGAAAGCACAGAGGACTGTTCTTTTAAGATTCCAGTTAGATAGAACCATCAGATCTGACAGCAAAAAGTAACCAATTTTACCCTGAGTAAGGCGAGGAACCCACGCCTTGATCTCAAAAAGGTAACGAAATGTTTAACACTGCTTCTTTCCGCGTTTCCTTCCTCTGTCTCCTTCAAAAAGCAGACCCAGATCCCTGTCCCTTCACAAAATTCATCGGATTGTCATGAAATGGTGGTCCAAACATATTTTGTCTCACGAAAATCACTTCATTTTGCAAAGTTGTATATTAACGTGATTCTCTCTCTTATTTCAAAACACTCACTTCTCTGCGGGGCGATTATTGAACCGTGCAATATATCGCAATTCGATGTCTTATCGGGCTGGTTTAAATTTCAATAATCGGCCCGCTGTATTTTGAAGCAACGTGGAAAAAAATGAAATTGCTGATATAACAATTTTATAGTTAAAATAAGGGTCCAACATGTTTCAATGAAGATTTTACGATTAAAAAATGCTAAATTAACCACCCCTGTGGTTAAATTAGCTTCCCACTATTGTAAAATGTACACTTTGAAACACGTCGGTCATATTTTTGAACAATTTAATTGCTAAATCAGCAATCCATTTTTTTCGGCGAACACTGGAATAACATTCATGTCAAAGCTGTTATAAAAACGAGAGGATCTAAAGATATGGAGATCAGATCAGGAATACCGTTTAAAATGAAGGGGTAAAAAGAGGGAGGTTGTTTCATCCTTAGTGGTCCTTTGCGCTTAAAGTCGGAGGAGGGAGGGATGTGGCCGTGGTAGTTGACCCAGGACATGATTCTGGGCATGCGCTTGCCTTTTTGTGATTGGTTGCTAGAGGCTCCACTTTCACACCCACTCCATTCGGATTCAATGTCATTGTCACACCAACTGTAACAAAGAAAAGTTATTACAATAAGTACTTAATCAATGATGAATAATAGAGGAGGGTGGTGTGTAAGATATACCCGGTACCCAATGCACCGCACTAGACAAGGTATAGAGTTAAGCAATCTGATACATGTGTCTTGACCAAAATTTCACGTAAAACTCGATTTGCGCAGCGAAAATTACCGAAATTAATCCCTAACCAAGATGATGGAAATGTGTTCATTGATGTGAAATTACTCGACCCTACAGCCCGGAAACTTTTGCATTAAACAGTGATTCTTATGGTATACGAAGACCAAAGTTAAGCCCTCGAGAACTTAAAATTAAGTACTAGAGCTCACAAGTTCTCATCGTGACTTCATTTCTGTTCGCTTCCCAACCTTCCCTTCAGAGCGATAAATGAAGCTACACGCAGATTCGACATGGCACGCGGCGCGTCGAAGAGGGACAGAAAAAGAAGGGGCCATGAGATAACTATTTTAACGCTTGGGTAAGAATATTGCCTATACCATTAAATGAAGGCGATTTGATACGTGCGTCTGGCCTGAGCCGCGTCGTGCGCATTCGGTAACCGAAACCCTTTTGTGTTTCGTATTGTGATAACTTGGAAAAGCTTTCGTACAACTTCTTGTGCCCTGTATTTTTCGGTCTATTAAGTATTACTTCATTGGCCCTTTTCGATAAAATCTAATAATGGGTACAAACAGTGGTGAATTTTAGTTAGCAAAGTAAAAGTACAAGTCGTCGCTCCTTCACGCGAGCCCCCTCCTCCGTAAACCTCTATTATTTCTAGGACTCACGTGGAAATAGAGATACGCCCTTTGAGGGCGTATCTCTATGGGGCCTAGGTCTATCTCTAGCACTATCTCTATAGTGTCTAAGGGCGGCCCTTACGTCAGAGGAGCGACGAAGTGAGGGAATAAAGAGCGCGACGCATGAATCTGCACAGCAGACTTTTTGCCATGGAAAGAAAATCGCGAACAAATATGAAATGGACTGAAACAAATAGGTAGTAACCCACTTACGTCTTGGGAAAAATGAGTCAGGTGTAGGTCTTGAGCTTAGTTGAGCTCAGTGGCGGATCCGGAGTAAGTTGGAGGGGGGGGGTTGCTGACGTCGAGTGGGGGATCTGGGGGATACCTTCCAGAGCAAGGGGGTCGGGGGCCTCCCCAGAAATTTTTTTTTCAAAAATAGCCCCTCCTAGATTTAATTTTAAGCAGTTTTAGCTTACAATCTGTGCATTGTTTGACAGTTGAAAATTGACGAATAATATACCTCCTCCAGCGTAACTTCATCTCAGTATGTAAACTATTTATTTCTGCAGTGTTAAGTGATCTTTGTTCACATAGTTCTGTCTTAAAATAATTTCAGTAAACTTTTAGGAGCACTTATTTCTTCTCTCCTTCTTTTCCCCTTCTTTGGCCCGAGGGAGGCATACCGCCCCCCCCCCCCCCCGGATTCGCCGCTGGTTGAGCTTGAGCCGCAAAGTCACTGCCGCTAAAATTCCAAGTCGAAAAAAATACATATTAAATTTGAAAATAGACACTGAGCTTTATCTCCTACAGTGTATAATGGAATACAACTTGGAACTTTTTTTCCTCGGTTTAATCGTTATTTGACTCGGCCCCTTTCTGTTAAACTCGGACGAAAAGTTGTATATGAAGAAAGTACAGCATATTTTCTGTACTTATCTGTACAAGAAGTTACATGGAAGCTTTTCCAAGTTATCACATCACGAATTAAAGCGGGGTTTTGGTAAATCGTCGCGCATGGCACAGCCCAGGCTCAGCGTACGTATCGGCTCGCGCCAAATCGCCTTCTTATGACAGTATAGGCAAAATGCTTACCCAAGAGTTAAAATAGTTATCTCGCGGCCCCTTATTTTTCCAAGTCGAATCTAATCTGCGCTCATTATCATTTACTGCTCTGTAGTGAAAGATGGGAAGTGGATAAAAATTGAATTTTGCATGTATGTTCGTAACACGAAAAGGTTTTCTTTATGTTTCATCATAAGAGGTTTATGGCGTCATGTCTTCGTGGTTTTTCCTCGAACTTCCCATCTCATCATGAGAGTGCCTTACAAGGATGCCGAGAAAAACCTAAAATCGATTTCCTTTTAAAAAATGCCCCTCGACAAGTTCAGGCGCTGGACCCTTTAATCATGTGAAACACTGTGGAGTATTTGGATTGCGTTCTGCATAAAGGAACTAAGATTATTCCAATATTGCTAGGGTTTAGCAATTTACATTCCTTGCAGTGAAATTACTGAAACCTTGCTAAAAATTAAATTTACAAAGGATACTTTTGTACTGAATTCATAGTTTATTGGGAGGAAAGATAAAACTTGTTGGGATGATCAGTTTATAATCGCAAGGTTAAAAAAGTATAAGAATCTTAGCGACATTGGAATGCATTTGGTTTCTTTTGGCAGAAATGCAATCCATTTAGCTCTCTTCTCTCATTTGAACGCTTACCCACTCTGATCGAGAATAACTTGTTTTCGTGCTTATCGCATATCAAAATTCAAATGTATTAAATGATTAATAAACGGCTCCGCCAAGAGCAGATAGCTGGCGAGGGGATGGTTAATCTTTCACCTAGTGAATAGTGTCACTTGAAACTGAGTCATATGTATTGTCTGCGATTGTGGCATTGGAGCAAGCCCCTCACGGGTGCAAGAAAATGAGGACTTGCATGTTTCCTCGACAAAGGAGCTTGGCGATGGCCATTTTTCATGCGCATAGTGGGATGTCCTGATAACTGCACAAAACGTTAAGCGGCATTTTTCAACGTCATTATCACGCTGCAACACTCTTGCACGGAACCCTTAATTGCCGCCCCCACACGTTCACCCGTTCTATCCATAGATTAATTAAAACCGCGAGCGGCATCGATAGATCGTATTCGATAGTGGTTCGATGTATCGTTCGGTTCAACGCTGTAGAACATAACCCCAACACATGTGAGAACTTAAGCAGGAAAAGCTGATAATGAGAAAATTCCTAACAATTTCACTTTTCGTTGCCATTTTATACTAATGTATATGTAAGAATAAAAAATCTATCAAAAGCAACCCGTTCCCTCAGATTACTCAATTGACTTTTAAGGCTCTGTTTACATGTTGAACCAATCGATATCGATACAATCTCACCTTTTGATGTATCGAATACGATCCATCGCAATTTTTTGCCTCACGCCTCCCGCGCCAGTTGCCCCGATTTCCGGCCATCATTGTCTGCCACGGACGCGTCAGAGCAGAATGCCTTTGTTTTAAGTGATGCTACAGTGCGTAACAGTCGAACGGTAGTTTGGTTCAAAAAAGTAAAATCAAAATCAAAATACCGTCAAAGAGCTTTTGAAAGAGCGATTACCACGGTGTTATAATCGGGTCGTTTTTTACTCGGTATAAACTTGCTTTTTGGACGATCTTCGCTCGACGAAAATATTAGAAATAGCCACAGCTCCAGTAGAATATACCGTGCACCAGATTAGAGTATATTACCTCCCAAACTTCCGTGATTTTTAAGTGATCTTAAAAGAAATGTTCTGCTATTTTAATTCTGAACAGATTATTCATTATTTTCGTTACATTAAGCTCATCAAGAAGTAACAATATATTCAAAACAATAAAACAAATAATTCAGTGGCTTTCACAGGTTATGTTGAATTTCTCAGCGATTTTTCATTAAATGTGTAGTGGCTTTCACAGGATATATTGAATTTCTCCGCGATTTTTCATTAAATGTGTAATTTATACAAATCTCACGATGTTGTAATCCCAATTTTTTGTGGTTTCGCGATGACAGATTAAAATAGAAGAAAAACTTTCGAAACTTCACCATGCAGTTGGACGAGTTTTGCTCTCTAGCACTCGACTGAATGCTACATAAAATCGATACCCAATAGGTATATGTCTTCGCTGCCAAGTTGTTTAATTTCATCAATTCTCAGTGGCAAGTGATGACAGGGATTTATCACTTCCTTTGCCCGAAAATCCTCCACCGTAAAAGGTTTTTTCTTTGTGTTTACCAAACGAGCGATTTTAACTCCAAAAGTCGTTTCTAAAATTCCTGATTATGTCACTGGTGCTTCTAACATGAGAACTTCTGTGAATGTTGTACAAACCGCGATGCTTTACTAGATTAATGAGTTCATCGGGAATGCTTTTCTGAGCTTCCGAAAGGTTGGAATCCTCATCTCCAGCTTCACAAGGGTGTGAGAATCTTTTTTCATCCTTGCAGTTTCACCGTCGAACAATTAATCAAGGACTTGAATTTTGACAATCAAAAGGCACGCCCTGAGAGTGATTACTCAAACGTCGGAAATGTTACGTATTCTCAGTGGTGAAATCGACGAAAATAGGTATTTGGACATATTTCTGCCAAACGGAACTATGTGCATTGAGACATGAGCCCTGAGACCCATAAGAATATACGCATAACAGGGCTCTCGACATGATGCACATAGTTCCGTTTGGCAGAAATACGTCCATTTGTGAGTCGCGTTCCCGCTTAACTGTCTTTTGACGGTGAAATTTCAAGAAACCGCTGAAATCACCAGCTTAGGCGTGCTTCGGTTACTTTGCTAGGGGGGCCTCCCCCGGGAAATTTCCGAAATTTTAAATCTATTTTGACGCATTTTAGGGCTCCCGTGACGCAGGTTTTCCACCAAGCTCTGCAAAAAAGTTAGGTTTATTTTTTCACTATCAGCAAAAATTACTTTCGAATTCCTACATTTGATAAATTATAGAAATTACGACAAGAAAAAGTTACAACAATTATAGAAATTTCGAATATAAAGTAGAATATTATTAAATTTCATCTGTAAAAAGTCAATATTAATAGTATTAATATCATTAATATAGATCTATCATACATTTTAGTCCGATAATTTTACCAAAAATAAAAATAATTCATATTGATAAATTAACAGTTCAAAATGGACGTATTTCTATCAAACGGAACTAAGTGTATTACGACGTGAGCCCTGAAACCCATAAG